TATCGAAGGCCGCTGAGAGGTCGAGCAGCACCAACAGGGACACACTCCCCCTGTCGAGCTCCCGCCGCAGATCATCCACTAAGGCGACCAAGGCTGTCTCGGTACCATGCCCCGGCCTAAAGCCAGACTGTGCCGGATCCAGATAATCCGTGTCTACCAAGAATGCCTGGAGTTGTGAGGCCACCACACGTTCCATGACCTTGCCCAAAAAGGGGAGATTGGAAACAGGCCGATAGTTGACGAATTGAGTGGGGTCCAGTGATGGTTTCTTCAACAGCGGTTTTATTACAGCTTGCTTTAAGCTGGCTGGAATTTTGCCTTCCCGAAGGGAGGCATTAACCCCCACCTTCACCCACTCGGCCAATCCCCCTCTGGCCTCCTTCAGAAGCCAGGATGGGCAGGGGTCTAGGATGCATGTGGTAGCTCTCATTCCTCCAAGCACCTTGTCCACATCCTCGGATTGAACCAATTGAAATGAATCCATCAAAACCGGACAAGCAGATGCTCGTGTTACATCCTCAGAGACTGCCGTTAATATGGTATCCAGGCCAGAGCGGATCAAAGCGACTTTGTCTGCGAAGAACTGAGCAAACGCTTCGCAGCGAGCTGCCGAGTCATCAGGGCACCCATCCTGAGTGGTGGGTTTCAATAGGCCTCTGACAACTCGGAACAGTTCAGCCGGACGGTTTTTCGCAGACGCAATAGTGGCCGCAAAGAAAGTCTTCTTTGCGGCTTTTATTGCCGCGGCATATGCCCTTAAAAAGGACACAAACCGTGTTCGATTTGGTTCGCTCGGATCCGAACGCCACACGCTCTCTAGTTCCCTCTTCTTTCGCTTCAACGCTGCCAGCTCCTCGGTAAACCAAGGGGCTGGTTTAGCTCGGCTACTTGAGAGGGGACGTTCTGGAGCGATCGTGTCTATTGCCCTAGTCATCTCCCCATTCCAGAGAGCGACCAGGCATCAACAGGATCACCAACCGAGGTGGCGGGAAATTCCCCAAGAGCCATCAGGAACCCATCCGGATCCATAAGCCTCCTGGGGCGGACCAATTTAATGCGTCCTCCACCTCTGCGGAGGTTAGGGGGTGCAGTGAGTCTAAAGCTGACCAGGTGGTGGTCGGTCCATGGCAACGGAGAGATGGATAACTCCTCAACACCGCCACCTTCCTCCCATCCCTGGCAGAAAACCAAGTCCAATGTATGTCCAGCACTGTGGGTGGGGCCAGATACCTGTTGGGACAGCCCCATGGTTGCCATGGTAGACATGAAGTCCTGAGCCGCTCCCGATAGGGCGGCCTCGGCATGGACATTGAAGTCCCCCAGCACAAGCAGCCGTTGGGACTCCAACGCCAGGTCCGAGACCACCCCCGCTAGCTCAGGTCAGGGAGACTGTAGTGCAGCGAGGTGGACGGTACACTAACAGAATCCCTAATCTGTCCCGGTCACCCACCCTCAGGTGGACGCATTCAAAATTTGTTGACTGCGGGATGGGGGCCCTGGTCAGAAGAATGGAATCTCTATAGACCACTGCAACCCCGCCTCCCCGCCCTCCGGATCTCGGTTGGTGCTGCACAGAGAAACCTGGTGGGCAAAGCTGGGTTAAATTTACACCTCCCGCTTCGTCCAACCAGGTCTCTGTGATGCACGCCAGATCTGCCCGTTCATCCAGGATTAAATCTTGGATGAAAGTTGTTTTACCGTTGACAGATCTGGCGTTCAACAGCACCACTTTCAATTCAGAGGGACCGCCATCCTGGTTACACCGACTTACCATATCAGGAGACCGACTTGGGATTACTAATGTTGTTCCACATTCCCTAGGCCGAATTAAAGGTCTCCTTTTCCCGTATCTCCCCCTCCCCACCACGACTTCTATGGGGGCTCCCCGGTTAACGGAACCCTCTCCCTCCTCCATGATGCATTCGGCAGCCAAACTATCTACCCATAATTCATTGTTGACTGTATGGTTTGTTATAGTTCCAGGATGCCATAGTCCTGCCTTCCGTTCATTTCCTACTCCTATTATGTTAAACTCCGGTCTTTCTAATCTACTCCGTTCCCCTTCTCTACCAAAAACAATTAGCAGCAAGATTAACAGATGCCAGGGAAAGGGTAGTGACATGGATGGTAGCTATTAACACTGTCAAAGGAGTTCTTAAAGTGCAGGAGTTAAAGTGCAGGAGTTCTTAGAATGCAGATAGATAATTGTATCAGCATACACGATGGTATAGATAATTAAAGTGCAATAGCTTGGTCAATTGGCTCTAAAGTGCTCAATTAAAGTGCGTCATGGAGGACTGAATTCAATGCTAGACGGTTGAGTCGATTAAAGTGCTAAGGCTCAGTAAAGCTAACAAATCACTGAGATAGTAAGTTAAGGTGCTGTTAGAGTAAAGTGCTAGAATCACACAGGATATTTGTCCACTATGCTTACTAACGGTGCAACAATTAGTTCTTAAATTCTCCGTTCAGTCAGCACAATGGTCAGCACAATCAAAGACGGTGGTCAGCACAGTCAGAAATGGACAGCACAATCAAGGGAGGTCAACACAGATGAAGATAGTCAGCACAATCAAAAGAGATGGTCCACACAATTAAAGGAGGTCAACACAGACGGATAACGATGGTCAATATAATCTGTCCAAAATTGGGAACCACGAGATGCCAGAGGATGGTAATAATCAGGCCAAAAGGTGGTCAACACAATCTTCCGGAGTTGATGGTTACCAAACGAGGTGATGGAATCTCGTGCGATGGCGGCAGATTAATCCCGGGAGGGCGAGGGGAGCTGGAGCGCTGGAGGCCGGCACATCAGAGGTCGGCGCGGTGGAAGAGCTCAACTGAGCACTAGGCCGGACAGCTGGGCTGGAGCTGGGGCGCCGGGAGGAACGCGGAAGGACAACAGAAGACAAGCGCGCTAGAGGCCGGCGCACCGGCCGGCGCGATGGAAGGCTCCGTTGAACGCTAGGCCGGACGGTAGCAGCGGCCGCTGGGCCCAGCAGCCGCTGGGCTGGAGCTGGAGCTGGAGCGCCGGGGGGCACTTGCGTCTGGAGGCGCTGAGGATCACAGGATCACAGGGCGCTAGAGCGCCGGAATAGCAGGCTGTCAGCTGGAAACAGCGGGGCGTCAGCTGGAAACGGGCCGAATAGCAAGCTCGCATCGGCGACAATGGCGGCCCCGGCAGCCCCCGACTGCAGCACAGGCCGCACAAGCACTGCAGGCCCCTCAGGCATCCACCAGAGCCAGCAGCGACGGGGCGGCAGCCAGGCAAGGCCGCAAAGCAAGGCCGCAAAGCAAGGCCGCGAAGCAGGCCGCCAGGCGGGGTCGCGAAGCAGCCCACTGGGTTGTCCGTCAAGCCGTCGCTCAGTGGTATGGCGGTGGACCGGCGCTCCAATCCAAGCCAAGTAAGAATGGAGAGAGCAGGATAGCACCGGTCCCCCTCTCAAGCGGCCACAATCCCGTCGGCAGCGTCGGCAGCGTCCAAAAGAGCCAATAATGGCGGCAATAGAGCCAATATTGGCAATAGAGCCAATAATGGCGGCCACCCAGTCGCTCTACCTCCCTTCTTCTCCAAACCTCATTCAGCTCTTCCTTCGTCAATGCTCCTCCAGTTTGACTCCCCAAGGCCACCTCCGTGACCCTAGTTTGTCAATGGTAAAGGAGCAGGTTTCAAGGGCTCCGGGTGGCAAGGTTTGGCTTGATTAAGTCCGATTTTAAGTTCTTTCCCTACCGGAGCAGAGGAGTAAAGCAATAGAGTAATACGTCACTGTTTTACTCACAGCATGCTGTCTCTACTCCTCTCCACACACCATCCCTCATTTACTAATAAAGCTTCATGAATCTCTTCTCTTCTTTTGTTGTTTTAAAAAGAGAAAGTTTGTTGTTTTAAAAAGAAATGTGGTCGGCGTTTTTGCCATATAGGCAAGGCAGCAAAGTAAATAGCCTTGGACGCTTCTCAGCCTCTCCGGTTTCGCTAATTGCTCCTTGATTTAGGAGACAAGGGTCATAAATATCGACACCAGATGAAAGCTGTGCGAAGCCCCTCTGATTCTCTCTTAGCTCAGAGAGAAGTTGGGAGAATACAGAGTTCAGTATTCATCTGGCTAAATACCTTGCAAGCAGCCTCTTTCGGACGCTGCCTTCATGCCGCCTACTCCTCTGCTACGCCAGCTCCACTGGCTGCCAATCAGCTTCTGAGCACAATTCAAAGTGCTGGACCTATAAATCCCTAAATGACTCCGGCCCAGTTTACCTGTCCGAACGGATTCTCCCCTATGAACCATCAAGGTTGTTAAGATCTTCTGGAGGGGCCCTGCTCTCGGTCCCACCACCTTCGCAATCGCGTCTGGTGGGGACGAGGGACAGGGCCTTCTCGGTGGTGGCCCCTCGGCTTTGGAACTCTCTCCCGATGGAGATCAGATCTGCCCCTTCCCTCCTGACTTTCAGAAAGCTGGTAAAATCTTGGCTTTGGAACATAGCATTCTCAGAATGATGATCGAGTCAATAACTGTTGACCACACGGGTGGATGATGATGATGATGAATTTGTGATTACCTTGACGACTTGGCTGTATGTAATTATTTGGACTGTATTTTAATGTATTGTAATGTATTAATGTACTATGATGTTATCATGCTTTAGCTTATTTGTATATGAATTTCCTGTTGTTAGCCGGCCTGAGTCCCTCTTCGGAGGTCGAAAAGACCGGGTTATAAAAGCTCTAAATAAATAAATAAATAAATAAATAAATAAATAATAAATTCACACTTGCCTCAAACAGGCAAGAGTTCTTTCTCCCACCCTGGACATCATTCCACAGATATAGAAACCCCATTTTCCTAGTTTCCAACAGACCTCACAATCTTTGAGGATGCCTGTCATAGATGCAGGCAAAACATCAGGAGAGAATGCTTCTGGAACGTGGCCAGAACGCCCGGAAAACTCGCAACTACCCAATGCTGTTGCTGCTGTTGCTGCTTCTGCCAATTCTGTTTGTGCAGCTTCATGCCACTTGGCATTGTGCAGACAGAGAGAGCTGAAGTCAGCTTTTATTCTGAAAGGATGTGCTCAGCCAGCCTTGCCCTGCATTCCCATCGGTGCCAGATGCACCGTGCAGAGCGTTTCAAGGGTAACCGGGGACCATCCGCTTCGATTATTGCTCAGCATCACCCAGATGCTTTCCTACATCTTTTTGCTCGTTTGCGTCCTCTTTAAGAACACATTTCATTTCCTTCGGTCTTTGCTCCATCACATCCCAGGTAAGAGCTCCATTTTCTCCTCCCGGAGGGCTATTAATTAATCAAAAGCAGCTGAGGTTAGATGGACCGAATATAGAGGTCCTATTTAGGACGGTGGCTATTATACAAGAATTATAATAATATGCAAGAATTATTATTTGGAAGTCACAAGGACTGAATGGCGAGAGATATAACTCTACAGATAATATAGAATTGGAACTATTGGCGAAGAGTAAAAATGCCGGTAAACAGTTGCCAACTGTCATCGTTGCAGTCTATCTGAACGGCACAGGCAGTTCCCAAATTATGAACAAGATGGGTTGTGCAGGTTTGTTCTTAAGTTGAATTTGTATGAACAGGTCCATTTTTAAGTGTAACTCCAGATAGATAGATAGATAGATAGATAGATAGATAGATAGATAGATAGATAGATACAGAGATACAGAGATACAGAGATAGATAAATAGATAGATGAACAGATAGAGAGGCAGATGGATGGATGAGTAGAAAGATAGATAGTTAGATAGATAGAGAGATAGATAGGTAGATAGATAAGATAGATAGATAAGATAGATAGAAGTGTTGGAGAGCATAGGGAAGGGCAAACACCCCTAAGGTGTTTCCTTTGCTGTCTATGCTCCTGTTCAAAAGATTCCACATCACTTTCCGTCCCTGTGAGAATTGGATTTTGCAAAATGTGGTTTGTTGTGGAAACAACGGTTGGTGATAAAGCTTCTGTTGAGACCCCTTTCCCCCATGATAACAACTCTTCTAGGAGTGGATTTCTCCTCCGAGGCATGGATTCCTCTCACTTCCTATTGTCTCAACCCCGTTCTTAACTATGAGACAGAAATATAGTAAATACATAAATTTGTAAGTCTGATGTTTGTAGCTCTCGGACTGCCTGTAGTACTTAAAATGTACCCGACTGTCATAAATGTTGATGTATTTTATTTGTTTACTAGCCATTCCCTGCCACGTGTTGCTGTGGCCCAGTCTGTGTATATGTGTTTTGTGTGTGTGTATATGTGTGTATTTATATATTTGTGTATATGTGTATTTATGTGGTTATGTGCATGCGTTGTAATGGTTTTTTGGGGGGTTTTTAAGTCCCTTCCGCTGTGTTTTTCAGTGTTTTTATGAGTGACTGTGGCCAAACCTTCCCTCCCTCCTTCTTTTCTTTCTTCCTCTCCTTCCCTCCCTTCATCTTTCCTTCCTTCCCTCTTTTTCTTTTCCTTCTTCTTTCCCTTTTTCTTTCTTCCTTCTCTACCTGTTTCTTTCCTCCTTTCTGTATGCTGGATTTCATATCACAAAATTACAAGTTGAACACTTCCCAAGCATCCTAGGAAGATTGTGGCAAGATATATAATAATAATAATAATAATAATAATAATAATAATAATAATAATAATAATAATTTTATAATAGAAATTATAATAATTATTATAATAATTTTACTTCCAGTAGGGTAGTAAAAAAATTGGGAAAAGGTGAGTAAACTAATAAAATGATTTCTCACAACCACAATAAATTTATTTATATTCCGCCCCCTCTCTCCAGGGGACTCAGGGTGGCTTACGACATAAATAATACAAGTAAGTGCAAGACGATAAATACAGAACATGAAATAAACAATAACACATCTATAAATATAAAACACAAAATACAACAAAACCAAATAACAAAAATATAAATAACTAGCCGTCCCCTGCCACGCGTTGCTGTGGCCTGGTGTGGTGATCTGGAAAAATAACGTAATGAGAAAGTGTTGGTTTCTAATATATGTAATGTCTTTCTGCTTGTGGGTAAACAGTATTTCTTGCTGTTTCTTTGTCAGTGTTGATGTGGAGATTGTGTTTTTTGCCTACTGGATGGCCTTAAGTGTTTTCTATTGGTCATGGGGGTTCTGGAACATCCAACTTATAATTGTCCTTCTTTAGGGCTCCCTTTCAAATCTATATCTCTCTGTGTGTGTGAATTATATCTATCGATTGATATCTATGGCTGGATGGCTTTGTCAGAAGGGCTTTGATTATGGTTTCTTGCCTTGGTGAAGGGAGTTGAACTGGATGGCCTTAAGTGTTTTCTATTGGTCATGGGGGTTCTGTGTGGGAAGTTTGCCCCAATTCTGTCGTTCATGTGGTTCCGAATGCTCTTTGATTGTAGGTAACTACAACTCCCAATTTTCAAGGTCTATTTCCCCCAGACTCCATCTGTGTTCATATTTGGGCATATGAAATATTTGTGCCAAGTTTGGTCCAGATCCATCATTGTTTGAGTCCACAGTGGACTCTGGATGTAGGTGAACTACAACTCCAAAACTCAAGGTCAATGCCCACCAAACCCTTCCAGTATTTTCTGTTGGTCATGGGAGTTCTGTGTGCCAAGTTTGGTTCAATTCCATCGTTGGTGGAGTTCAGAATGCTCTTTGATTGTAGGTGAACTATAAATCCCAGCAACTACAACTCCCAAATGACAAAATCATAATTTTTGAGTGATGGTCACTCCTTGTGTAGTGAGATGTTTTGTTGCCAAATTTGGTGTGATTTCGTTCATTGGTAAGGTACTCATTACGCACAGAGCATTTATATATATATATATATATAGAGAGAGAGAGAGAGAGATAGATAGATAGATAGATAGATGAGTATTAGATTAAAACACAGCCATTCCTATAAGCTACAATGGGCTTGCTGCCATCAATCCATATCCTAGAGTAGTGTTTCAGAAACACTTAACCTCCTGATGCCTCAATTAATGTCATTTTATTGGTATCTATTTTTATTTTGAAACTGACCCGTAGCGGCTGCATTTCCCACCCTTGGCATGGATGCAAGTCAATACATTTTCCCAGTTGCTTTGTGGTAAACTTAGGTGCTTCGTCTTATATTCGGGTCGGCTTATACTCAAATATATATGGTATGTTCCTGTTTTTTGATTCTTCGTTTGGAGATTGTTGCATATTCTGTTTGTCCCAGAATATTTCCTGTCAGCTCCTGGTTTGATGAGCTATTTTTCAAACTGTCTTCTTAGGTTGATTTATTTTAGTCCAGTACAAAACTGGAAAGATCACGAACACAAGATTCTGGACCTTCCTAATGCCGTGGCCCCTTAATCCAGTTTCTCACGTTGCGGTGACCCCCAAACATGCAATTATTTTCGTTGCTACTTCATAACTGTAATTTTGCTACTGTTATGAATTGTAATGTAAATATCTGATATTCAGGATGTAGTTTCATTCACTGGATCAAATTTGGCACAAATACCTGACACGTCCAAATTTGAATACTGGTGGGGATTTTTTTTTGGGGGGGGGGGTTATTTTGTCGTTTGGAAGTTGTAGTTTTTAGGATTTATAGTTCACCTACAATCAAAAAGCATTCTGAACTCTACCAAAGTTAGTAGACAAAACTCCCATGACCAACAGAAAATACTGGAAGGGTTTGGTGGGCATTGACCTCGAGTTTTGGAGTTGTAGTTCACCTACCTCCAGAGAGGATCCTGGACTCAAACAATGATGGATCAGGACCAAACTTGGCATGAGTACTCAATATGCCCAAATGTGAACACTGGTGGAGTTTGGGGAAAATAGACCTTGACAGTTGGGAGTTGTAGTTGCTGGGATTTATAGTTCACCTATGATCAAAGAGCATTCTGAACTCCACTAATGATGGAATTGAACCAAACTTGGCACACAGAACTCCCATGACCAACAGAAAATACTGGAAGGGTTTGGGGGGCATTGTCCTTGAGTTTTGGAATTGTAGTTCACCTACATGCAGAGAGCACTGTGGATTCAAAAAAAATGATAGATCTGGACCAAACTTGGCACAAATACTCAATATGCCCAAATGTGAACACTGGTGGAGTTTTGGGAAAATAGATCTTGACTTTTGGAAGTTGTAGTTGCTGGGAATTATAGCAACCCCACCAACGATGGAATTGGGCCAAACTTCCCACACAGAACCCCCATGACCAACATAAAATACTATATTTTCTGGTGGTCTTTGGCGACCTCTGTGACAACCCCTTGCGACCCCCCACCTGCATTAGCAGGTGCAAAATGTTTTTCTGTATGTCACACACCAAGATCTAAACACCATTTGATATTCACCACTGTTGAGTTTCATAGGGTTTCCTTAAGCAGGGAAGATTCGGATTAGTGGAGCATAAAGCTGCTTTCCAAGGCAATACTCAAACAAGCCCTTCCGTAATAAAAGGAAAATCCACCCTTCGCTGAGACAGCATGCCCTCCATCTGTCCCGATTGAGCCAGGACAGTCCCAATCCCCTGTCATCTCATTCTCTGGCTCAGTGTTTCTCAACCTTCCTAATACCGCAACTCCTTAATACAGTTCCTTGTGTTGTGATGACTCACAACCATAACATTAAATTTCTTTGCTACTTCATAACTGTCATTTTGCTACTGCTATGAATCATAATGCAAATATCTGATATGCAGGATGTATTTCCATTCACTGGACCAAATTTGGCACAAGTACCCTATACGCCCAAACTTGAATACTGGAGGGGCTGGGAGGGACTGATTTTGTCATTTGAGAGTTGTAGTTTCTGGGATTTAGAGTTAATCTAAATCAAAGAGTATTCTGAGCTCCACCAACAATGGAACTGAACCAAACTTGGCACACAGAATTCCCATGACCAACAGAAAATACTGGAAGGGTTGGGTGGGCATTGACCTTGAGTTTTGGAGTTGTAGCTCACCTACATCCAGAGAACACTGTGGACTCAATGGTGGATCTGGACCACACTTGGCACAGATATTCAATATGCCCAGATGTGAACACTGGTGAAGTTTGGGGAAAATAAACCTTGACATTTGGGTGGTGTAGTTGCTGGGATTTATAGTTAACCTACAATCAAAGAACATTCTGAACTCCACCAACGATTGAATTGAACCAAACTTGGCCCACAGAACTCCCATGACCAACAGAAAATACTGGAAGGGTTTGGTGGGCATTGACCTTGAGTTTTGGAGTTGTAGTTCACCTACATCCAGAGAGCATTGTGAACTCAAACAATTGTACAGTAGATCTGAACCCCACCAACGATAGAATTGGGCCAAATTTCCCACACAGAACCCCCATGACAAACAGAAAATACTGTGTTTCCTGATGGTCTTTGGTGACCCCTCTGGCACTCCATTGCAACCCCCCAAGGGCCCTGATCCCTAGTTTGAGAAGCACGTCTCTAGCTGCCTTTAGAATGTCTCTATATCTCTCTCCTCTTTCTCTTATCCCCTTTTTGTGAACTGATTTCAAAGCGCAAAAGCAGTTTGCATTCAACACTTTAGAACTAAAGTGAAATTGGAATTGTACCTTTCCCTGTTGACTCAGGCAAAGACATGTCCTGATACGAATACTCTGTCCTGAAAATCCCCAGCGTGGAAAAAACTCATAGACAAAATCCTGCTGAGTTGAACATTCAAGTCAAGTCCTGCAAAGGAACCAGAATTCGTGTAGCATTGGGCATGGGAAGCAAATCCAGAAAGGTTATTGAATTTTAGACCCAGTTTCAGACCGAGTGGTAGAGTAACTACACTGTGAATGTTTTAATTGAGTCTCACAAAGGTTTTAAATTGGTCTCACAAGTCTATTTGCGATCTCGATTAGAGTTCACTTTCCGTAGACTCGATCCGTTAATTCCTCCAGTCCGCTTTGCCAACTCCGTTAAAAGCTGCAGCCTCTCTCATCCCATCATGCTCGCACCAAAAGCAGCCTTGGATTCAGGGCATTAGGCAGGATTTCAGCAGAATTTAATTATATTTGCAGAGGAAAGGAAGAGATAATAGCTTTAACTCTTGAGTTGCTCAATTGTATTAGGGATGGGTCACTCGCAGAGATGTTCACCACCAAAGAAAGGGACAGCTGGCTTCGTACAAAACAGGGCAGCTTGGCCCTAATGAAGCATTACTTAATGTTGCCACAAGAGATGGGATTTTACTACCTGTCTTTTCTTACATCTCTTGGGTGCCTGAATGAATATTCATTGACTTACTTACTTAGGCGATCCCTCGTGGTTCGAGGATGATGGTCCTCCAAGTGTAATGTCTTGGAGGTGGATACGTAGGTGGCTGTGGAGCCCTATTCTTGATCTGCATGTTCTTCCGCAGTGAGGACATCCGTTTCCAGACAGAAGGCTGTCCTGGTCATGATTTTATTTATCGTGTCATCCGCAACCAGACCGTTGTATTACATTTCTAACAGAACAAAACAAACAAACCCACAAATTTTGCAAACTTGGTAGTTGATTAAATGTCCTTTGACCAGTATCTGGCCACTTGGAGTGCCTCTGGTGTTGCCGCAAGAAGGTCCTCCATTGTGCATGTGGCAGGGCTCAGGTTGCATTGCAGCCGGTGGTCAGTGGTTTGCTCTTCTCCACACTCACATGTCGTTGATTCCACTTTGTGGCCCCATTTCTTAAGATTGGCTCTGCATCTCGTGGTGCCAGAGCGCAGTCTGTTCAGCACCTTCCAAGTCGCCCAGTCTTCTGTGTGCCCAGGGGGGAGTCTCTTATCTGGTATCACCCATGGATTGAGGTGCTGGGTTTGAGCCTGCCACTTTTGAACTCTCGCTTGCTGAGGTGTTCCAGCGAATGTCTCTGTAGTTCTAAGAAAACTATTTCTTAATTTAAGTTGTTGACGTGCTGGCTGATACCCAAACAAGGGATGAGCTGGAGATGTCACTGCCTTGGTCCTTTCACTATTGGCTGCTACTTCCCGGTGGATGTCAGGTGGTGCAATACCGGCTAAGCAGTGTAATTTCTCCAGTGGTGTAAGGCGCAGGCACCCCGTGATAATGAGGCATGTCTCATGAAGAGCCACACCCACTGTTTTAGCGTGGTGAGATGTGTTCCACACTGGGCATGCATACTCAGTAGCAGAGTAACATAGCGCAAGGGCAGATGTCTTCACTGAGTCTGGTTGTGATCCCCAGGTTGTGCCAGTCAGCTTTCGTATGATATTGTTTCTAGCGCCCACTTTTTGCTTGATGTTCAGGCAGTGCTTCTTGTAGGTCAGAGCACGGTTCAGAGTGACTCCCAGGTATTTGGGTGCGCTGCAATGCTCCAGTGGGATTCCTTCCCAGGTAATAATCCTCAGAGCTCGGGATGCTTGTCTGTTCTTGAGATGAAAGGCACATGTCTGTGTTTTAGATGGATTAGGGATCAGTTGGTTTTCCCTGTAATAGGCAGTAAGGGCACCTAGAACTTTGGAGAGCTTCTGTTCAACCATCTCAAAGCTCCCTGCTTGAGCGGTAATGGCACGATCATCAGCATAGATTTATGCTGGTCATGATGAAGGCAAGATGAAAATAGATAATACACATATTGGAAAATATATATTGGATGTAACCATATTAGAAATAGGAGTTAGAAAATATATGAAATCACAAAGAGAAATGTATGTTTGCATGACCTTCACTTCACTTGGCTTCTTAAAACTGCAAAATTAGATGCCTCAAGAGAAACCCGGATCTAGGAAAGGAATGTCAAGAGACCTCAGGCATATTTCAAGAGACTCCTTCCATTTTGGTACCAGGCGAAGCTTATTGTAAGATTAATGAGTTGGCCATCAAGAGTCTTCAAGATGGATGGAAGCTCTTGTTATCAGGGTTTTAGTAGACATTCTGGCGATGGTCCTCATTAATAGCAGCTCCTCAGATAAAATGCTTAAAATGAAGATTGACAGGTGTTGAAGTTAAAATATGCCATTGAAGTCAATGTAAACGTAGAATTTTGTGACACACATTGTGATGCCTGTATGATGCATGCATATTATTTTAAAGAGTATATAAACCAAGGCTTTTCTTTGTTCTGTACACTGGCTCTGGATTACCAGCAAGGTCCATATCCGGTTGGCGCCAACCGAGAATAAACCGTGTTTTTTCAGACCTCAGGAACTCTCTTTGTCTCTTTTCCTCAAACCTTCTCCCTGCCATTTCAGTCAGGGTTGCTGCACCTTCCTCTTGGCACATTTCTCCCTTTCACCTTACATTCGTGCCTTTTCAAATTCTGCAGCACTGCTGGTCACAGCTGACCTCCAGCTAGAACACCCAAGGGGCATCACTTTCCAGTTCTCTCTTGGTATCTATGCCACAGTTTTTAAGGTTGGCTTTAAGCCCGTCTTTAAATCTCTTTTCCTGTCCACCAATATTACATTTTCTGTTTTTGAGTTGGTGCATATATCTATGACTACCTGTATATGGTATATCTATGACTACTATGCTTCTGTATTTTATTTTAAGAGGACTAGATGTATGTTGTATGTTGTGTCTGCACTGTCTGTTTTTGATAAGGCCAACTGGCTAATCAATAAAATTGTTGTTGTTTTTGAATTGGGAGTATAGTAATTGCTTTGGGAGGCTGTGATCAGGCATTTGGGCAACGTGGCCAGTCCAGTGGAGTTGATGGCGTAGGAGTATCGCTTCAGTGCTGGTGGTCTTTGCTTCTTCCAGCACACTGATATTTGTCCCCCTTAACAAAGCATTGAACAAAGTTTGGCTTCTCATTGAATATCGAGAAAACCAAAGTGCTCTTCCAGCCGTCATCAGCCAATCCCTCTCCAATGCCAGATATACAACTCAGTGGTGTAACATTAGAAAATGTTGACCATTTCCACTCCCTTGGGAGCCACTTCTCCACAAAAGTCAACCACATGACCTTGGAGGTGTCTAAGGACAACACCTGCTCTTCGACTTAGAGATGGAGATGAGCACCAACCTCCAGAGCTGGACACAACTAGATTTAATGTCAAGGGGAAACCTTTATCTTTACCTAAAAAGCTTCAGTGGAGACACATTTTCCCCATGATAATAACTCTTCCAGGAGTAAATTTCTCTTTCGAGGGGTAGGTTCTTCTCACATCCTGTTATCTCAGCCCCGTTCTTGAGTGTTTGAAACTCGGGGACTGCCTGTAATCCCTCAGGATCAAGTATAACCAATAATATCAATATAAGAAGATGATGCAATCAAAGGAACAAAAAGCACAGAACTAACTGCTTCAAATTGAATAAAGTTCAGCAAAACTATGTTATGAAAACACACTCGGTTTAGGGCTGTGTGCTTATTTGCCTTCACATGCAATTCTGAAAGAAGCTTAGTAAGTGTTCTTGTGTTACTCTAGAAATGGCCACTATGCTTCTGTTTGGATTAAAGAGGAAAAAAGCAAATTGACCAAGAGTCAAGCCTGGTGTTTTCTTCTCGTTTGGTGATCTCTTGCTTTCTATCCTCTCTTACAGAGAGTTCGGTGCCGAACCAGAAACAAGACCGGCAGGTGACTCTCCGCCACCGAAAAGGCTTGGAATGTATCTCCTCCTTCTTCAGCAGCGTGGAAGAAACCCCTAAGGTTATCCCAACCAAGATCAGTGGGCAGATCCCCAAATGGCTCAAGGGCAAGCTACTAAGAAATGGGCCGGGAAAGTTCGAGTTCGGAAAAGATAAGTAAGTCCTCATTTGTTTGATTGTTGTCGTTCTGGGCGCCGCTGACAATTCCATACTTCAAAAAAGGACTGAAGTTCAAGTTATTGCAAACTCCCATATCAATATGCTCTAGTGTCCTCATGTGAAGTGCCAGAGACACTTGGGAAAGTTACTTTGTTGTCTGCAATGACCAGAACCCCCCAGGTACTTTAGCTATTGATCGGGAAACTCTGAGAGCTGCAGTCTAGAAAAGCAATGTTTCTGTGCTCTGGTTGATTGATTCCTAGCCTGAAAGAACCATTGTGTTGTCGCACGCTGGGCCTGTGACATTGTCTATTTGCAGGATGTACTTTCTGTATGCCCAATGGGATGCCGGGGCTGCCTCAGCTAAAGGGCCCTTGGGCTTCCCACCACAAAGTTCTGTAGAGGCTCAAAGTAAGTTCAACAAAATTCTTTATTGGTGCTTAAATCTTCAACAAAGGAATTAAATACTGTATAACTCTGGAAAACTAGTAACTTTCTTAATCTGCCCACAAGGGACAGGCAACTGCTTAATGAACGGTTCCTTTTCCTTGGGGAAACCTTCTGACCCCTCCTTGGGCAAATCTGTCTCTTCCTTACTGGCATGAGGCCCCTACTCCTGGTTCCAATCTACGTTATGGATTGCTCGAGTGTCCCTTACCAGATAAGTTCTTTCGTGAATCTGCTGAGTTGGAGTCCTTTCGATTTTCCACGCAGGTTGTGGAACCATTCCCCTTTCCCAGCAAAACTGGCTGTATTTCCCAGCAAAAGCTGGCGGTAACCTTTCTCTCAGCAAAGCTGTTTGTTCAACTCCAGCAAAGCTGGTTGTATTTTCCCAGCAAAACCTGTGCAAAATGAAGCTTTTAACAGGTGGGGAGAGAAAAGAGCCGCACATCCTTCTGTAAGGCTTCCAACTGTAAACTGAACTGAAAGTCCCCTTTTCCCTCCAAAACCCGGGGAAAGGGGCGGATCTAAAGGCTCTAATGATGATTGATAGGTTGTTGGCCCTATGATTGCAACCCGGGGAAAGCTACCCAATTGCGAAAAAGCATAGCTTGAATAGACTCATGCAAACTATGAGTGCAAGAAAAGTAATTGAAATCTCCTGGCACAACCGTGCCAGCACAACCATATTCAGCTGGCCAGTTAGTTGTGAATTATTATATATCAATAGCCACGCATTGCTGTGGCCCAGACTGTGTATATATGTGTTGTGTGTGTATATATGTGTGTATATGTGTGTGCATATTGTGTATTTATGTGTTATAATGGGGTTTTTTTGCTTTTTAAGTCTCTTCCACTGTGTTTTTCAGTGTTTTTATGAGTGATGGTCACTCGTTGGCCTGATAGGTGCATTGTGTCCAAATTTGGTGTCAATTCATCCAGTGGTTTTTGAGTTATGTTAATCCCACAAATGAACATTACATTTTTATTTGTATAGATCAAATCTATATTAGCTACATAAATCACAACAGTCTTGGGAGACAGATCAGGCTCGGAAAGTGTCATTCTGTAAGTATCAGTGCCAAGTTGAACTTGGCTCTCTCAAATCCCAGTTGAGGTGGTTACTAGGCCTGGTTGATCAAGAAAAAATTTGGTTCTAAAATCGATTTGTAATTGGGGTGTTTTTTTGTTTCGATATTTAAAATAATTACAAAATTTTCCCCAAAAAAAGTTTCGGTATTTACGAAATTTCGTAAATATTTACAAAACATTTTGTAAAGATGGCGGACCCCCACGCATGCGCAAAAACACTTCCGAAGCTTCGTTATTGGCGCGGGGGTCGATTCGTTAAGATAATAACGAATCGATTCGTTAAAGCGACGGACGCGTTTGCGCATGCGCAAACGCGACTTCCGAAACTTCGTTATTAAAACTTCGTTATTAAAACTTCGTTATTAATAACTTCGTTTAGTTATTAAATATTTTGGGTTGGCAAAAGGAGCGCACTGGTTGGAACTACACAAATGATGAGCGAGCAGTGTATGTATGTAGCACTTTGTGTTGGCAAAAGGAGCGCACTGGTTGGAACTACACAAATGACAAACGCACACACAGCCACCGAAGACTCTTTTATTTTTTTAGAATATTTTTTGTATTTTTTAAGAATAAAAGACAGGTATTTTTAGAAAATATTCAGAAATGGAAAATTAACCAAAAACTGGCCCTGATATGAAGCAAACACAGCCACGAGACAGGGCAAATGAGAGCACACACCAACAGAAGAGTCTTTTCTTTTTTTAGAATATTTTTTGTATTTTTTAAGAATAAAAGACAGGTATTTTTAGAAAATATTCAAAAATGGAAAATTAACCAAAAACTGGCCCTGATGTAGAGCTAACACAGGCAGGAGACAGGGCAAATGAGAGCACACAGCAACAGAAGAGTCTTTTCTTTTTTAGAATATTTTTTGTATTTTTTTAAAGAATAAAAGACAGGTATTTTTAAAAAATATTCAAAAATGGAAACAAACAAAAAGTGGCCCTGATGTTGACCAAACACAGGCAGGAGACAGCAAATGAGAGCACACAGCAACAGAAGAGTCTTTTCTTTTTTAGAATATTTTTTGTATTTTTTAAGAATAAAAGGCAGGTATTTTTAGAAAATATTCAAAAATGGAAACTGAACCAAAAAATGGCCCTGATGTAGAGCTAACACAGGCAGGAGACAGCAAATGAGAGCACACAGCAACAGAAGAGTCTTTTCTTTTTTAGAATATTTTTTGTATTTTTTAAGAATAAAAGGCAGGTATTTTTAGAAAATATTCAGAAATGGAAAATTAACCAAAAAATGGCCCTGATGTGGACCAAACACAGGCAGGAGACAGGGCAAATGAGAGCACACAGCAACAGAAGAGTCTTTTCTTTTTTAGAATATTTTTTGTATTTTTTAAGAATAATATTTAAAAAATAATATTAAAAAATATTCAAAAATGGAAACTGAACCAAAAACTGGCCCTGATGTAGAGCTAACACAGGCAGGAGACAGCAAATGAGAGCACACAGCAACAGAAGAGTCTTTTCTTTTTTTTAAATATTTTTTTTGGGTTTTTTTTTAAGAATAAAAGGCAGGTATTTTTAGAAAATATTCAAAAATGGAAACTGAACCAAAAAATGGCCCTGATGTAGAGCTAACACAGTCAGGAGACAGCAAATGAGAGCACACAGCAACAGAAGAGTCTTTTCTTTTTTAGAATATTTTTTGTATTTTTTAAGAATAATATTTAAAAAATATTAAAAAATAATATTAAAAAATATTTAAAAATGGAAAATTAAGAAACAAATTCACAAAAACCGAAGTAATGAATCCAAGCAAGGAATATAAGCAGCACTAAGCACAGCAGCAAGGAATGAATCCAAGCAAGGAATGAGCAAGGAATGAATCCAATCCAGTTGCTAGCCAAGCCAAGCCAACCCAATGCAAACCCTCCCGGACCTCTTCTCTCTCCCTCGCCCTCTGCAGCAATGAGCTCAGCTGTACGGCCGCTTTTAAAGGGCTCGCCGGCCAATCAAAAACAGCCACGGTGCACTGCTTGGGTGCTTGGGAGCGCCGGATTGGCTCCCAGGCACCAGCAGCCTCCATCCCATTAACGAAACGAGCGGAAGCTCGTTAAATCTATGGGGGTTGCCGGTTCGATATTTTTAAACCCTTCCGGGTTTGAAAATGTGTTTTGATATCGCTTCGTAAATGCAAAAATTAACGAATTAATAACGAATTACGAAATTAACGAACGAAACCGCACAGGCCTAGTGGTTACAGGTTAGCACCTTGGAAGCAAATGCTGTGGTGACAAACCTTCCATAACTATTTCTTCTCCCTTGACCAGAAAATATGTCAGATATATTAACTAGGTACTTTTAATTACAAAAATGTGAGTCAAGCTCTGAAAAGGTTGAATGGACGCAGTGACTCAGCAAAAGCTGCAGTTCTATATAAGCAGGTGTGCCTGTAGCTTAGTAGACCTCAGTCTGAGAGAGGTCTCTGTGGGAGAAGAGCCTCAGTGTGTTGGTAGGCCTCAGTATGAGAACGCCTCAGTGTTAGTTCACCTCAGTTTGAGAGAGGTGTAGTCTGAGAGAGCCCTCAATGTGAGAAGACCTCAATGTGAGGTAGGTCTCAGTGTGAATAGGCCTGTGTGAGAAGCTTTGGTGAGAGAACTCCCAGGTTGAAAGCCATGTGTGTAAAGCTCCAGCATGAAGGCTGCTGTGTGTAAAAGCCTACTGTGTAAAGCTCCTATGTAAGTTCCGTGTGAGAGGTTTCCATAACACAAAGTTCTTTATACTTCCTTCTTTTCTTCCATGCTGAGCTTCTTTCTCATGCAGATAAACAGCTTCGCTCTCACTGAGCTTCATCTGCATGGGAAAGAATCCCATCGTGGAAGCAAAGAAGGAAGTATAAAGAACTTTATTTGTATTATGGAAACTTTGTTCTTGTAAATAGTGCAACCATATTATTTTGCTATAAAGAAAAGCCTCTGAAGGAAGAGATAACATTGGTCTGTGTATTTTTTGTTGTTCTTTTTATCACTTTTGGCTACTGGTGCTGGGTCATGCTGCTGCTAATAAGTGACCCTGCTTTGCATTTATGAGGGGGGTCTCTTGTTATTAACCTCACTTGCCCAACAATAAAGATTCCATGGCTATTTCTTCTCCCGTGACCATGTTTTTCCTCTTCAATGGAAGGTATAACCACTGGTTTGATGGCATGGCTCTGTTGCATCAGTTTGAGATTGAGGAGGGAATTGTGAAGTACAGCAGCAAGTTCCTAAGGAGTGATTCCTACGTGACAAACAGCAAGAAGAACCGGATTATGATCTCTGAGTTTGGGACCATGGCCATGCCAGACCCTTGCAAGACCATTTTTGAGCGCTTCTTGTCAAAGTTTGAAATGCCAAGTAAGTGCCAATCTCTTTGGATCTGCTCCACCCATCTGGTTCTTTTAAGGCTGGTGTTTTCCTTGTGGAAATCTTAGAGGAAATTGTACATGGAATAGGTTTTGTGACATGGACATGGACCATACTGACATTACTTCTACATAGGGATGTAACAGCAGCTCTTTACTGGATGTGGATGCTAAGGAGCTGCTCAGTTCTAATGCTCGCGTAAGTACCGTATATACTCGAGTACAAGCCGGCCCAAATATAAGCCGAGGCACCTCATTTTACCACAAAAAACTGGGGAAATTGATTGATTCAAGTATAACCGGAGGGTGGGAAATGCAGCAGCTACTGGTAAATTTCAAAATAAAAATAGTAAAGGTAAAGGTTTTCCCCTGACATGAAGTCCAGTAGTGTCTGGCTCTGGGGTGTGGCGTTCATCTCCATTTCTAAGCCGAAGAGCCATCATTGTCCATAGACACCTCCAAGGTCATGTGGCCAGCATGACTGCATGGAGCGCCATTACCTTTCCACCAGAGCGGTACCTATTGATCTACTCACATTTGCATGTTTTCAAACTGCTAGGTTGGCAGAAGCTGGGGCTGACAGCGGAAGCTCACGCTGCTCCCCGGATTCGAACCTGTGACCTTTTGGTCAACAAGCTCAGCAGCTCAGTGTTCTAACCCATTACATTATTACATTACATTAATTACACTAATTGAGGAATCAGTAGGCTAAATGTTTTTGAATATTTACATAAAATGGTAATTTAAGATAAGACTGTCCAATTCTGATTAAACCATTCTTTTAACCTTCTTCAATGTAAATGTGCTTATGTACCCTTATGAAATAATAAATGTAATAATAATAATACAGTAATAAATGTAATAACATTAAGAAGAGTAAAATAATAAATGTAGCAGTGACAACAATTATAAAGTAAAATGATAAATGTAATAATAATAATAATAATAATAATAAAATAGAATAAAATAATAATAATAATAATAATTTGTGTTTATAATAATAATAATAATAATAATAATAATAATAATAATAATAATAGAATAAAATAATAAATAACCTTGACTCAAGTATAAGCCGAGGGGGATCTTTTTAGCCTTTAAAAAAGTTCTGAAAAACTAGGTTTATACTCGAGTATATACAGTAAGTCCACTTATGAAGATGTAACTCTCCAACAGGATTTCCATGTTAATTAATAAATGGATATGTCAAGTATCAAAATGAGGCATCTCAGAAAATCCTTGATGCTTTCTGGGTATTCAGAGTTGGCTGAAGAGCCAGGGAAAGGAATATTGCAGGTTTGTTCTGAATGAGGTCTGTCAGATTCTTCTGCAAGTTTCACCGTTCAGCTGGAAGACAAACCATTGTTGCGGCAATAATAATTTCAATCATTTGAGAGGGCAGATTAGGCCGTTGGCTGAGCGTCAAAAGTGCAACTCAGCTCTGAATGCCAATTATAATACGGAGAGAAGGTGCCAACATTCCCCTTTGCCCTAGGCATAGACTTTTACACCGCAACAGGTTTTTAATGAGGAGAACAGTTTGTTTATCTGTCCACTGCAAAGCACCGCGGGCTTCTGCATGGAGAACACCTGCTTCATATGTTTCTCTCTGCCGCTCTAATAAACTTGAGGTTTTTGTACCACATTCCTCAGGCTAAGCTGCCCCAGGCCAATCTGCTTTTTGTTTCTCCTGTTTTGCCACAGAGATAACAGACAACTGCAACGTGAACTATGTGATCTACAAAGGAGACTATTTTGTTAGCACGGAGACCAATGTAATGCACAAAGTTGATCTGGAAACTCTGGAAACGAAGGAGAAGGTAAAGGGACAGCAAAGATTGAGTCAGACCATCTAGTCAGAGGGGTTTGAGGTGCTTTCCTCATTCATACTCAATCTTTTAGAAATGTCAGGAATTGAACTTTGGCCTCTTGGCATGCAAAACGTACCTCCTTGTGTGTCAGTTCTGGCTTCATCTGGGTTCAGAAAAAAATATGACTACACAAGTAGAATGGGATAAGTTACTTACTTAGGTGATCCCTCATTGCCCGAGTAGGATTGCCTTCCAGGATCGGTGTACTGGTGGTGGATCCATAGGTGACTATGGAGCCCAATTCTTGACCTGTATCTTCTCCCGCAGTGAGGGCATTGGTTTCCAGGTGGAAGGCGGTCTCGGTCGGGGTTGGCTTGATGCACCTTCCTCTTGGCACATTTCTCTCTTTCGCCCTCCATTCATGCCTCTTCAAACTCCACAGCACTGCTGGTCACAGCTGATCTCCAGCTGGAGCGCTCAAGAGCCAGGGCTTCCCAGTTCTCAGTGTCTATGCCAGAGTTTTTAAGGTTGGCTTTGAGCCCATCTTTCAATCTCTTTTCCTGCCCACCAACATTCCGTTTTCTGTTCTTGAGTTCGGAATAGAGCAACTGCTTTGGGAGACGGTGGTCGGGCATCCGGACAACGTGGCCGGTCCAGCGGAGTTGATGGCGGAGGACCATCGCTTCAATGCTGGTGGTCTTTGCTTCTTCCAGCATGCTGACATTTGTCCACTTGTCTTCCCAAGAGATTTGCAGGAGTTTTTGGAGACAGTGCTGATTAAATCATTGTAGGAGTTGCATGTGGCGTCTGTAGACTGTCCATGTCTCACAGGCGTATAGCAGAGTTGGGAGGACAATAGCTTTAAAAACAAGCACCTTGGTATCCCGGATGTCCCAGTCCTCAAACACTCTCTGCTTCATTCGGAAAAATGCTGCACTCGCAGAGCTCAGGCGGTGTTGTATTTCAGTGTCAATGTTGACTTTTGTGGAGAGGTGGCTGCCAAGGGAGCGGAAATGGTCAACATTTTCTAATGTTACACCATTAAGCTGTATCCCTGGCATTGGAGAGGGATCCCGTGGGCTTCCCATAGGTGTCTGCTCCTGTGGGAAATGTTGCTGGATGAGACGATCCTTTGATCTGATCCTCAGGACTTTTCTCTTGGCCACGATGGTGGTGTGGTGCTGCTGAGACCCAACTTGTGTTCACCAGCTGCAGGCGAGAGCTATCATCCTATACTAGTGGCATCCCAAAGGCATTTTGTGAACTATTGTCCAAAACAGGAGTCAGGAGTAGATTGAGCTTTCTCCATCGTGGTCTCTGAGAAATCACACATATGGTATTTCCTGTGCTTGTGTAGTCACTCAGCTTGGAATCTTCTAAAACTCTAAGATATATTTTGGAAGGAGCCCTGCCCACACTCTCCATGGAGGTATATAGTCAGTGGGAGGAACTACCACCTCAGTTCCTTTTGTCCGCCGCCTTTGCAGCAGCTAGGAATCACTTCTCTTCAGATGAGCATATTCTCTTGACCCTTTTCTTCATGGATTTTTTCATGGCACGACCTCTACAATCTCCTTCAAAGTGCTGGGCTTGTGGGGGAAAGCTACCAGAAACAGATAAGCATGCTTAGTGCTTTCTCTGTCTGGGAGAGGGCCACAGTGTATGCCTTTCCTTACTTCCCAATCTCGCAAATAGCGAGTCCCAGCTGTGGCCTTCCGTTGTCTCCCTAGCAACTATCCTCTTGGATTGTGTCCACCATCCGCTCGGCCTGTCAGCTAGCATGCTGCTTACCTCTGCAGGTCTAGGTCTACTCCACAAGGGCTATGGCTGATTCTCTGGCTTTCCTGAAGAGCGTATCTTTCGAAAAGTCTGCTGGGTGGCCGCCTGGTCTACCTCTCTCACCTTGTTACCTATTACAAAGTGAATATGCTCTCCAAGAGAGATACAGCCTCTTGTCTCCGGATCTATAGCTTTCTGGCAAAGAATTTACTTCCTGAACAAAGTGGGAAGGCTTTATTTCTAAAAGCATACATTATGGTACAAAACTGAAATTCCAACCGACAGTTTATTTCCCTCACGCCTCCCATCCCTCACCCTGGACCCTCCCCTTCATTGTTCCCATTTCCAAGAAAACCTCATTTTTTTCAAATATTCACAGGCCAGGTCTAAGGCATAGTCTAATTTCCTGGCTTCACACAAAACCAGGGAATAAGGTCATGACATCTTGGCAGAGCCAGTCTCTTGACAGAGCAGTCATAGATTCATAGAATCATAGAATCATAGAGTTGGAAGAGACCTCATGGGCCATCCAGTCCAACCCCCTGCCAAGAAGCAGGAATATTGCATTCAAATCACCCCTGACAGATGGCCATCCAGCCTCTGCTTAAAAGCTTCCAAAGAAGGGGCAGAGAGTTCCACTGCTGAATGGCTCTCACAGTCAGGAAGTTCTTCCTAATGTTCAGATGGAATCTCCTTTCTTGTAGTTTAAAGCCATTGTTCCATGTCCTAGTCTCCAGGGAAGCAGAAAACAAGCTTGCTCCCTCCTCCCTATGACTTCCCCTCACATATTTATACATGGCCCTCATCATGTCTCCTCTCAGCTTTCTCTTCTGCAGGCTAAACATGCCCAGCTCTTTAAGCTGCTCATAGGGCTTGTTCTCCAGACCCTTGATCATTTTAGTCGCCCTCCTCTGGACACTTTCCAGCTTGTCAATATATCTCTTCAATTTCAGTGCCCAGAATTGGACACAATATTCCAGGTGTAGTCTAACCAAGGCAGAAGAGAGCATGGGGAGCATGACTTCCCTGGACCTAGACACTATATTCAACTTCTCTTGGGAGTCATGACTCCTGCCATCCTAGATTAGTACCTTGCTAGTTGACCATATGTGCGATTTCACAGAGACAACAATGGAAAAGTAAAGGTTGCTTACTCCAACAATGGAAAAGTAAAGGTTGCTTCTCCAAGTGGACAAGTGTGACATTAGCACATCCCTGCTCATCCTCTGCACTATCTTGTCATGTCTCGATTTCTCTTGCTGCCGTCATGCAGCGGACATGGGGAACTGAGGTGGTAGCCCCTTCCATTGGTTATATATCTCCATGGGGAGTATTGGCGGGGCTTATCCCAAAATATATCTTAGAGTTCTAGAAGACTCTGAACTGACCGAGCAGGCGGAGGAAACACCATGTATATGAGTTTCACAGATACAGGAGAAACACAGTTACAGGTAAGCAACCTTTACTTTGGTGTGATCTTGAAGGAAGGGTTGAAAAAAATGAAGTTAGACTGGTCACAAAAGGAGGAAAACTTGGCTTCTGCATAAATAAGGGAAGAAAGGGATTTTTTTTTAATTACACACCCTTTATTTATTTATTTATTGTGTCAGGAGCAAACCAAACAGTTGTACTGCATTTTTTAACAAGCAAACAAACAAACCACAAAGTTTGTAAGCTTGGTAGTTGATGAAATGTCCTTTGACCAATAGCTGGCCCCTTGGAGTGCCTCTGGTGTTGCCGCAAGGAGGTCCTCCATTGTGCATGTGGCAGGGCTCAGGTTGCATTGCAGCAGGTGGTCTGTGGTTTGCTCTTCTCCGCACTCGCATGTCGTTGATTCCACTTTGTGGCCCCATTTCTTAAGGTTGGCTCTGCATCTCGTGGTGCCAGAGCACAGTCTGTTCAGCGCCTTCCAAGTCGCCCAGTCTTCTGTGTGCCCAGGGGGGAGTCTCTAATCTGGTATCACCCACGGATTGAGGTGCTGGGTTTGAGCCTGCCACTTTTGGACTCTCACTTGCTGAGGTGTTCCAGCGAACGTCTCTGTAGATCTTAGAAAACTATTTCTTGATTTAAGTCATTGATGTGCTGGCTGATACCTGCCACTTTTGGACTCTCGCTTGCTGAGGTGTACCACTCTTTATGTGTGGACTTTAAGTGAACACTCTTTATGATAGAGCTGGAAAAATATTGCTAAATCAGTAATTTCTGCTCATATCCTGTAAAGAGAAACATATTTTGTTTGCAGGTGGATTGGAGTAAATATATTGCCGTGAATGGAGCAACTGCCCACCCGCATTATGACCCAGATGGGACTGCCTACAACATGGGCAACTCCTATGGGAACCAAGGTGAGGACCTGATGGCTCAGCGAAGGACAGGCCTGTGTGCCATGCTTGGAGAAGCATCCAGATTTCTAATCTAATTGTTAGAAGCAGACGTTACTTCTTTTTTTTTAGGTCCCTGTTCATTAGAGATATGAAAAGGCTTATTCACATGGCTGAAAAACACTTCTGCCTTCATGTTCTGTCTTGCTGTTCTCCTCGTATCGCTTGAATACAAATGCCCACATTGTGCAGAGTTATTAGAGCATAAGCTCTATTACCAGTCCAAACTAGGGAAGTACAAATCACAATTTACTACAATCCCCATATTAATTTACATGCATAGAGAAGTTGACCACACTGAATGTGTTAATGCGACCACTATTCTTGTTTATGCCAAGCTTTTAACTCTGTAATGCAAGTTTTAATCCCTTAACATCTGCCCATCTATTTTTGCTGATCTAGGTCATGAGTGACTTGAGGGATGGGCTACACACCCACTAATCATATCTTGCATTCGTTGGCATTCGGTGACACTGTGTGGCAGATCTACTGCTATTTCTTGACCTTTCAATAAAGTAAAAGAAGATGCACATTCCTTAGCTCTCAGTTATTAAACACTGCTCATTTTGAGGAACACCAACGTGAAGGGAGCTCACCTCCGGTTACATCCACCATGCATGTCCATTCCCAATTCTTCCTCTCTTCCAGGCAGCAAATACAACATCATCCGCATCCCACCGCAGGCACCCGGTTCCGACGACTCTAGCTTGCAGGGTGCCAAAGTGGTGTGCTCCATTCAACCCGAGGATCGGATGAAGCCCTCCTACTACCACAGCTTTGGTGAGCTAAGGCCTCCCTTGGGATGGACTTGTTTGTAAGGAAGGGAGGTCTGCCCTACTTTGGCCCTACAACCCCATCACAGAGGTTTCTTGGCAAGATTGGCCATTTAATTTTCTCTTTATATACATACTAGCCGTCCCCTGCCATGTGTTGCTGTGGCGCAGGCTGTGTATATGTATTTTGTGTGTGTATATATGTATTTATGTCTGTGTATATATTTGTATATATGTATATATATGTGTGTTTATGTATATATATATATACTAGCTGTTCACTGCCATGCGTTGCTGTGGCCCACATGGGGGTTCTGTGTGGGAGTTTGGCCCAATTCTATCGTTGGTGGGGTTCAGAATGCTCTGTGATTGTAGGTGAACTATAAATCCCAGCAACTACAACTCCCAAATGTCAAGATTCTATTTTTCCCAAACTCCACCAGTGTTCACATTTGGGCATATTGAGTATTCATGTCAAGTTTGGTCCAGATCCATCATTGTCAGAGTCCACAGTGTTCTCTGGATGTAGGTGAACTACGACTCAAACTAAAGGACACTGCCCACCAAACCCTTCCAGTATTTTCTGTTGGTCATGGGAGAACTGTGTGCCAAGTTTGGTTCGATTCCATCGTTGGTGGGGTTCAGAATGCTCTTTGATTGTAGGTGAACTATAAATCCCAGCAACTACAACTCCCAAATGACAAAATCATTTTTTTGAGTGAAGGACATACATTGGGTTGTTAGGTGTCTTGTGTCCAAATTTGGTGTCAATTGGTCCAGGGGTTTTTGAGTTCTGTGAATAGCACAAACGAACATTACATTTTTATTTATATAGATATGTGTGTGTATATGTGTGTATATTTTTGTGTATTTGTGTTTCTATGTGTATCTGTATATTGTGTATATGTGTGTGCTTGTGTATATGCATATACTGTATGTGTGTGTGTATGTATGTGTATATGTGTGTAGGTGTATATATGTGTGTATACTGTGTGTGTATATTTATGTGTGCTTGCATATATATATGTGTGTCTGTATGTATATGTGCATGTGTATATGTATATTGTGTATATGTGTGTTATTCGAACCGCTAACCTTTCAGTCAGTACCTACAGCAGCTCAGCGTTTTAACCTGCTGCACCACTGGGGGGCAGCAGACACACACTCACACACACACACCACCCCCTATATCTATCTTATCTATCTATCTCTATCTATCTATCTATCTATCTATCTATCTATCTATCTATCTCTATCTCTATCTCTCTCTCTATCTCTCTCTCTCTCTCTCTCTCTCTCTCTCTCTCTACCTCTATCTCTATCTCTATCTCTCTCTCTCTCTCTCTCTCTATCTCTCTATCTCTCTATCTCTCTCTCTCTATCTCTCTCTCTATCTATCTATCTATCTATCTATCTATATCTCTCTCTCTCTCTCTCTCTCTCTCTCTCTCTCTCTCTCTCTCTCTCTCTCTATCTCTCTCTCTCTCTCTCTCTCTCTCTCTCTCTCTCTCTCTCTCTCTCTCTCTCTCTCTCTCTCTCTCTCTCTCTCTCTATCTCTCTCTATCTCTCTCTATCTCTCTCTCTCTCTCTCTCTATCTCTATCTCTATCTCTATCTCTATCTCTATATCCCAGGAATGATAAAGCTAGTGCACATGTCATACTCAAGGCTGGCAGCCAAATCCAGCCCATCTTGTCCTTTTATATACTGGACTACAACTCCTGTGTTCCTCATCATAACTAAATCTGATGGGAGTTGTGATGCAGTTACATCTAGAAGACTGTCTTAGTCATAATAGTAGGGTCTGAATATACACACAAGGCTTGGTGATCTGGTCCCTGACTTTAAAATGTCCTTTAACCTTTCCCCAACCTCAAAGCCACAAGTGCTGTTGGGTTGCAACTCACATCATCTCTAGTTTGCATGACAGACAATCAAAAGTAATAATATCTGGAGACCCAAATAACATCTGGGTAGAAACTAAAGAGTACTGGCAACTAGGTAAATAAAGTCAGAGTTGGCCCTCGGTATCCATGGATTCTCCATCCATGGCTTCAGTATCCCTTTGGAGGTAGCCATAAGGCTGGTGTGGCTCTTGATGAAAATGAGTTTGCCACCTCTGAGCTAGTGGAAGGAAAAGAGGAGAGCTATGTCAGCAAGACTTGTGAGTCGGGGGCTGTAATGCAAACTAAAGCAGCAGTTCATTTCTTGCTTCCAGGGATGAGCCAAAACTACATCATCTTTATTGAGCAGCCCCTCAAAATGAACTTGTGGAAGTTCATTACGGCCCGGCTTCTCGGGAGATCCTTTTTGGACGGGATCAGCTGGGAGCCGCAGCACAACACCCGCTTCCATGTGGTGAACAAGCTCACAGGGCAGGTAAGTCCTCTGCCTTCCTCGGTTCCCAACCTGTGGCCTTCTGCATTGTCAAACACAACCTCGAAGAATTTCATGGCTGGAATTAATGGGTTGCTGTGAGTTTTCTGGGCTGTATGGCCATGTTCCAGAAGCATTCTCTCGTTACGTTTCACCTGCATCTATGGCAGGCATGCTCAGAGGTTGTGAGGTCTGTTGAAAACTAGCCAGACTTAGAAGCTGCAAGGATATTCAATGCTAATCAAGGTGGCCAATTGCAACATTCACATTTGCCTCCAGCAGACAAGAATTCTTTCTCCCACCTTGGACATTATTCCAGATATATAAACCCCACTTGCCTCATTTCCAACAGACCTCACAACCTCTGAGGATGCCTGCCATAGATGCAGGTGAAACATCAGGAGAGAATGCTTCTGGAACATGGCCATACAGCCTGGAATACTCACAGCAACCCATTAATTCCAGCCATGAAAGCCTTCGATGGAACATTGTTACAGGAGTGACTTGTAACTCATTACTCGTAAGCTCTGCTTAATGATGAGGCAACTCAAGCAGTGTCTTATCCACATTCTCAAGCAGCCAGAGGGCAAAAAGAGCAATTGAGGGCTTGTAGACCTTTAAGTTTGGGTCATGAATGAAAATCCTTGCCAGTGACACCGAGCACAATCTGCAGATTTGCAGAGGTGTTCTGTACGATGCTCCAGCAAAGGTCTGAGCAGATTTCTTTCCCTTGTGTATCCCTTGCACAGGCATTGCCCATGAAATACTGCAGCAAAGCTTTTATGAATTTCCATCAAATCAATGCCTTTGAAGACCAGGGCTGCATTGTACTTGACCTCTGCTGCCAGGATGATGGAAACGTTCTCGATATTTTCCGCTTGCAGAACTTGCACCAGGCAGGGGAAGCCCTGGACCAGGTAAAACTGCCCTGGAGATAATATTGCATGGGGAATCCAAGTTTGGAAGGACTTGTCCAAGGTGCTGAAACAATTCTTCCCTTTGCTTTGACCCCCCCCCCCCCCCGCTTTGCAGACCTATAATTCAATATCAACACCATATCCAAGGCGTTTCGTTCTGCCTCTTGACATCGATGACAAGAAACCTACGGGGGAGAATCTCTCTCCTTTGAGCTACACATCGGCAACAGCTGTGAAGGAGGCGGATGGCAAGGTATGTGCTCCAGGCACAAAGGGATGCTTTAGAACAAAATGGGCGACTTGGGGAATGTAAGGATGGGACTGGGGGGACATTTCCCAAATGCCCTATGGGAGGCACACCCACCTCCATTGCATATAGAAATGCCTCCTTCTTTGGTTGCATGCTCCCCAAAAGGACAACCGGAAGGGATGCTTTGTTGATGGCCTGGGCAAACTTTGGCCCTCCAGGTGTTTTGGCCTTTATCTCTCACAATTGCAGGAGTTGAAGTCCAAAACACCTGGAGGGCTAAAGTTTGCCCAGGCCTGCTCTATTGTTTCTTTATGATAACAACAACAACAACAACAACGTTATTCTTATATCCTGCGTCCATCTCCCCGAAGGGACTCGGGGTGGCTTACATGGGGGCCAAGACCAATATAAACAAAGGTGACAAAGTAACACAATTACTGTGTCCGTACCTTGGGAAGTCGGATCTGGCCACGATGGTCCACGCTCTTGTTACATCCCGATTAGATTACTGCAACGCACTCTACGTAGTGTTGCCTTTGAAGACTGTTCGGAAACTGTAATTAGTCCAACGGGCAGCAGATTACTCACTGGAGCGTCATTCAGGGAGCATACCACCCCCCTGTTATGTCAGCTCCACTGGCTGCCGGTCCAATTCCGAACACAATTCAAAGTGCTGGTTTTGACCTATAAAACCCTATATGGCTCCGGTCCAGTGTATCTGTCTGAACATATTTCCTCCTACGTCCCACCTTGGAGCTTAAGATCCTCTGGGGAGGCCCTGCTCTCGGCCCCACCTTTGTCTCAAACGCACTTGGCGGGGATGAGAGACAGGGCCTTCTCAGTGGTAGCTCCCCGGCTGTGGCATTTGCTTCCCGGGGAAATTAGATCATCATCATCCCTCCTCACCTTCAGAAAGAAGGTAAAATCATGGTTGTGGGACCAGGCCTTTGGGCAATCAGGTTAAAGGACAATGGATAACTATGGCTTTGGATTTGGGTTTGGATAAGTGAAGCGGAGTAACCATTAGTATATGGCTAGATAAATAGCCACCAGACTGGCAACAGCTAAGTGGATCGTAAGTATACTGTTTAATTTTTATTTTAATGTTCATGGTTTTAATTGTTACATTTGCTATTGTATTTTATGAAGCGGCATTGAATTGTTGCCAATTGTAAGCCACCCTGAGTCCCCCCAGGGGTTGAGAAGGGCGGGGTAAAAATGGTCGAAATAAAAATAAATAAATAATAAAAACATATAACTGCGAAATATATTAAAACAGTAAAACCAATAAAATGTAAGACATCATAAAACACAGACCAAACATCCAATAACCAGTAGCCGAAAAAGTGGGCATGTGCAGACTAATAGGGCAGGACAAGGGCTTGTGCAAACGCAAACTGTAGGGCCGGGGCTGGGAATAAAGTGCTGGAGACCCAACGCTCTCTACTGCAACGCTCTCTACGTGGGGTTGCCTTTGAAGACAGTCCGGAAGCTCCAACTAGTCCAACGGGCGGCAGCCATGATGCTAACAGGAGCAGGGCGCAGGGAGCACACAACTCCTCTGCTGCACCAGCTCCACTGGCTGCCGATCTGCTACCGGGCTCAATTCAAAGTGCTGGCGTTGGCCTTTAAAGCCCTAAACGGTTCTGGCCCAACTTATCTATCCGAACGTATCTCAGCCTATCAGCCCACCAGGACCCTAAGATCTTCTGGAGAGTCCCTGCTCTCTATCCCACCGGCTTCCCAAGTGCGGCTGGCGGGAACGAGAGACAGGGCCTTCTCTGTGGTGGCCCCTCGGCTTTGGAACACCCTCCCTATAGAGATACGATCAGCCTCTTCGCTGATGGTCTTTCGGAAGAGATTAAAAACATGGTTGTGTAAACAAGCATTCAATTAGTTTGTTACTATTGAATTTATAGACTAAGGACTGGTTAATTATGGATGACGAACTCTGGACTGTGATTTTTGTGACGAGAAGCATGGTATTATTATTGGTGGCCCAATAATTTGTATTGTTTACGTGTTGTTGTTTTAAATTGTACATTGCTTTTAATTGCTGTAAACCGCAATGAGTCGCCGATTTAGGCTGAGATATTAGCGGTATACAAGTGTATTAAATAAATAAAATAAATAAATAAACCAAAAAATTAAGGCTAGGTAGACTTAATCAGTAGCTAAACCATTATTCAAAGGCACACCGACACATCCAAGTTTTCAAGGCTATCCGGAAGGTGGACAAAGTGGGCGCTAATGTAATCTCCCTGGTGAGAGAGTTCCAGAGCTGAGGGGCTACCACCGAAAAGGCCCTTTCCCTCATCTCCACCAACTGTGCTTGTGACAGAGGTAGGAGCGAGAGAAGGTCCTCCTTGGTGGATCTTAGCACTTGCGCCGGATCGTAGAGGGTGATATAGTAATGAAGGTAAGCAGGACCCAAACTGTTTAGGGCATTATAGGTAATAACCTGCACTTTGAATTAGGTACAGAAACTTATTGGCAGCCAGTGGAGTTGCTTCAGTAGAGGCGTCATGCCTGTACCTCACTCCAGTTAACAACCTGGCTGCCAACCTTTGCACAAGTTGCAGTTTCCAGACCGTCTTCAAAGGCAGCCCTACGTAGAGTGCATTGCAGTAATCCAATCTAGATGTAACCAAGGCGTGGACCACCATGGCTAAGTCTAGCCACCACCGACGCCTGAACATCAAGCATCGGCGCTGAATCCAGGAGAACCCCAAACTACGGATCTGTATCCTCGGGGGGAGGGGAGTGAAACCCCACCAAGCACAGGTTGTCACCCTAGATCCTGATTGACCTCACAACTGACCAGGAGGACCTCTGTCTTGTCTGGATTAAGCTTCAGCTTGTTAGTGCTCACCCAGTCCATCACAGTGGCCAGACAGGATCTGACAAACTTCCTTGGATTTCGGTGGAAAGGAATAATAGAGTTGTGTGTCATTTGTGTAGAGATGGCACCAAACTCCAAAACTCCGGATGACCTCTCCCAGCAGTTTCATGTAGATTTAGTTATTTATTTATTATTTGAACTTATATGCCGCCACTCCCCTGGGGCTCGGAGTGGCTTACAAGAATGGCTAAAATCTAACACAATTTAAAAACAATTTAAAACAATTTAAAAACATCAATATCAAAAATCAAAGGCCTGTCGAAACAGGTATGTCTTACAAGCCCTGCAGAAAGCTGGTAAGTCCCGCAAGGCACGGACTTCAGGTGGCAGAGTATTCCAGAGTGATGGTGCCACTGCTGTGAAGGCTCTCCGTCTGGTTGCTGTTAGACGCAAGGTCTTGACACTGGGAATTTCCAATAGATCTTGGTCCTCAGAGTGGAGGGATCTCTGGGGTTGGTAGGGGGTGAGGCGGTCCCTCAGGTACATCGGCCCCAGACCATGCAAGGCCTTAAAGGTGAGTACCATCACTTTGAAAGTGATCCGTGCTCAATTGGTAACCAATGCAGCTGCAGTAAGATTGGTGTTATGTGGCATCTCATCGGAGTTCCCGCAAGAAGCATTTTGTACCAACTTGAGCTTCTGGATCACCGACAGAGGAAGGCCAATGTAGAGGGCGTTACAGTAGTCCAGTCTTGAGATGACCGTAGCCTGGATCACCGTAGCCAGGTCATCCCTGGACAGGGAGGGGGCCAGCCGTCTAGCCTGCCGCAGGTGAAAAAAGGCGGTTCTGCTAATGGCGGAGACCTGGGCCTCCATTGTCAGCAGAGGGTCCAAAAAGACTCCCAGGCTTTTGACCAATGATGACGAGTGTAGTGCCTCACCATCCAGGGTAGGCAGCTGGATATCCCCACTGCTCGGTCGACCCAGCCATAGGATCTCCGTCTTTGCTGGATTCACCCTCAACCTGCTGGCACGCAGCCATCCAGTAACGGCCTTGAGGCACTGATGGAAATAATCGGGTACAGAGTCCGGTCGGCCTTCCATCTTCAGCACCAGCTGAGTGTCATCGGCGTACTGATAACACTCAAGCCCAAAACCTCGAACCAGCTGAGCAAGTGGGTGCATATAGATGTTAAACAAGAGAGGGGAGAGGATGGCCCCCTGAGGAACCCCACAAGATAGAGGGGACCTCTCAGTGACCAGGCCTCCACTCGCTGTCCACGGTTGTGAAGAAAGGAGGACAGCCAATTTAAAGCTGTCCCTCTGACTCCCAACAGCAGCAAGGCGGTGGGTCAAAAGATTGTGGTCGACTGTGTCAAATGCTGCTGTGAGATGTTGAAAAGCATGGGAGTTAGAATGGAACCTTGCGAGACCCCACAGGACAATGGCCAGGAGTCTGAGCAGGTGTCCCCCAGCTTCTCCAACTGGGTACAATCCTCCAGGAAGGAGCTCAGCCACTGCAAAGCAATGCCCCCAAGACGATTCTCTTAGGGATGAAGGGGAATCAAAGGATCCCTGATCCGTTTTGCAGGCTCTTCAGTGGATGAGAATGGCCTTTCTGGGTCTGAGCGCCTGGACAGCTGCTCTCAGATCAAGGAAGACAAATTGAGCCTCGTCCTGGCACTCATACAAAGTCCTGCTTCCTGTTCCAGATCTGGTGCACATATGACAGTCTGCACGATGAGGACCTTGAGAAAGCCGGGGGCCTGGAATTCCCCCAGATCAATTACTCTTACTGCAACGGGAAGAAATACCGCTACTTCTACGGCTGTGGCTTTGGGAACGTGATTGGAGACTCGCTGATCAAGATGGACCTAAAAACCAAGGAGATGAAGGTGACAGGATGCGGGGCTTCTCTTGGGGTCGAGCTCTTTGTTTGGCTGGTTGTAGAAGCTGGATCCCAGCCTTTAAATACCACTAAAAATCCTTTATTTTTACAGATTTGGCAGCAAGATGGGCTGTATCCCTCTGAGCCTGTGTTTGTGCCAGAACCTAACTCTGGTACAGAAGACAGCGGAGTCATTCTCTCCGTAGTCCTGACGCCCGATCAGGTAGCTTGGAAATTACAAATGGAGAGCCAGATGGGACAAAAGCTGCTGGAGATTGTGGCATTTGTTACTCGAGTTTCCAGGTCTAAAATATCCAAATAATGTGGGAATTAGAAGATTAGTACACAGCAAACAATGTCAGTCTCCTAGCTGTTGTATTGGATCACATGTCGGACACTTCCCAAGTGTCTAGGACTGTGTGATGCATCAGCGAATAATGTGTGCAGATCCCAGTAAGGTAGCCTTTTGCAGCTGGCAGATGGTAATTTTGTCAGTGCCGATTGTGTTTAAGTGCAGGCCAAGGTCTTTGGCACTGCACCCGGTGTGCCAATCAGCACTGGGACCACTTAAGCGGCTGAGGGGGAAAAGGAAAGGGCCTGGGGCTGTTAGGAAAGGTGGGAGTTGGAGCCCAAAACACCTGGAGGGCCCAAGTTTACCCATACTTGCTATTACCTGATGATTTTTAAAAATAAATCCCAGAGATATTTGCCCTTCAAACTACAGCAAACTTTGCCCTGGTTTTTGAAAAAAATAAAAAACAACTTTGGAAAAGTTTTGGTGTAGATCCAAGAAATCCCTACCAATACTCTTTGCCAGGTGAGTAGGGAGAGAGTAGATTTGGAGGTGACAAAACCAGCAAAGAGCTGGATTAGGAGAATCCATGGATGCCTCTTTCCAGTAATCTTAAAAGGCAAATTTTGGGGAAAATCTAGTCCAAGGATGCTTAAATCAAAGTTGTTTCATGCCCTCTAGCGAATACAGATGGGAAATGCAACCTTTGGACAACTGGCTATGGACAACGCTGGGTCTTCAGCCTAGAAACTGAAATGAGCCCCAAGCCAAGAGTTGGACAAAACTAGACTTAATGTCAAGGGAAAACTTTTACCTTTACTTTATACAGCAGCTAGTAAAGGTAAAGGCAATGGTTTGCCCCTGACATTAAGTCCAGTCATGTCTGACTCTGGGGGTTGGTGCTCATCTCAATTTCGGAAGTCGAAGAGCTGGCGTTGTCCATAGACACTTCTAATGTCATGTGGCCAGCATGACTAGATGGAGCGTCATTACTTTTCCACAGAAGCGGTACCTATTGATCTACTCACACTTGCATGTTTTCAAACTGCTAGGTTGGCAGAAGCTGTGGCAGAAGCTCTTTGACTTAGAAATGGAGATGAGCACCAACCTCAGAGTTGGACAAAATTAGACTTAATGTCAAGGGAAAATTTTTACCTTTACTTTATACAACAGCTAGTAAAGTAAAGGTAATGGTCCTGTCTGACTCAGGGGGTTGGTGCTCATCTCCATTTCTAAGTTGAAGAGCCGGCGCTGTCCATAGACACCTCCAAGGTCATGTGGCCAGCATGACTGCATGGAGCACCGTTACCTTCCCGCTGGAGCGGTACCTATTGATCTACTCACACTTACATGTTTTCCAACTGCTAGGTTGCCAGAAGCTGGGGTTAACAGCAGAAGCTCACCCTGCTCCCTGGATTTGAACTGCCAACCTTTCAGTCAGCAAGTTCAGCAGCTCAGTGGTTCAACCTGCTGCACCACCAGGGGATTATATACACCAGCCACTTTATATATTTGCTTATTTAATCTTCCTTAATTTAATAACCCCCTCAAAGTGCGCTTGGAAAAGTAATGCTGCCTGTGTGTTTTTTGGTTTGACTTTGACTTTGTCCTCATTTCAGAATCAAGGCAGCTTCCTGCTCGTTCTGGATGCGAAGAGTTTCATCGAACTGGGACGGGCGGAAGTCCCAGTGCAGATTCCTTATGGATTCCACGGCATCTTTGTCTCGCGTTAATAACTATCCAGTTAGCTGGTGTCCACTTACCAAAGACAGGGGGAAAAATAATCTGTTTCATATTGTGTGACTGAAATGTCTCCTTCTGTGATCTTGGGCAAGCCACTTAATCTTCCCACAGGGCTAATGTTGTCCTGAAAGTTATCTTAATCGATATGTATATCGCTAGGCAAAACTATATCCATGTCTATGACAGGTATTGCTAACGAAAGATATTGCACATAGAATTGTCTTTATAGGAGGCACTCAAGGATGCTAAACTTTCAACGGTCCTTGATTAGGCACTATATTTTTGTACTAACTAACTACCTCTTTTGTGATGTTATTAGCGAGATGAAGTTGAAGCCCTCGGGGTTTTAGCTATATTTTTTTTTCAAAAATAAATCCTTGCAATACAAGCAGGCATGTTTTAAATTTGTTTGCATTAGAGATGGGAGACTTGACTGACCCAAAATAAAATACGTTCTTATCTTCATTAGCAGTTTCATCCTTCTTTGATACTTTTACCGTCCTGGGCTCAGTTCTGTTCAACCTCTTTATTAATGACTGAAATGAAGGATTTGAGGGCATAATCTTCATATGTATTGTCGAAGACTTTCATGGCCAGAATCACTGGGTTGTTGTAGGTTTTTTTGGACTATATGGCCATGTTCTAGAGGCATTTTCTCCTGACGTTTCATGAAAATGAACAAAATCTGGGTACCAGTATTAAAAAAACTCTAAAATTAGAACAGCACAACAACAGAGAGGAAACAAACAGGGACATCTAATCACCTCTCAACAAAAGATTGCTCCAGGCACTGCCAGGCTATCAAATGCTAATCAAGGTGATCAATTGAAACATTCACGCCTAGCTCCAACAGACAAGAGTCCTTTGTCCCACCCTGGTCATTCCACAGATATATAAACCCTTTTTTCTAGTTCCAACAGACCTCACTACCTCTGAGGATGCTTGCCATAGATGCAGGCGAAACGTCAGGAGAGAATGCCTCTAGAACATGGCCATATAGCCCAAAAAAAACCTACAACAACCCATAATCTTCAAGTTTACAGATGGGACCAAATTGGGAGGGAGAGCCAATAATCCAGAAGTCAGGAGAAGAATTGTAAACGATCTTCACAGATTAGAGGGATGGTGGGCCAAAACTACTAGGGTTGAATGAAAAGTAACGCCTCCACCTTCGTTACTTGGATTTGGATGGGGATATTTTAATAAATCAAACTCAGAAATAATCCTTAGAATGTGCTCTTTAACCACCACTATTCACTTTTCCACATAATCACCAGACAATTGGATACACTTCTGCCAACGATGAACAAGTTTTCTGAAGCCGTCACAGAAGAAGTTCACACTCTGTTTCCCCCACCAGCGTCTCACAGTTCTCTCATCCTGGGTACCCATCGTGCACAGATCTTGCAATAGCCAAGCAAAGCAATAATGATCTTTAACTCCCACTATTCACTTTTCCACATAATCACCAGATAATTGGATACATTTCTGCTGGATGGCCATCTGCAGGGATTATTTGAATGTGATTTTCCTGCTTCCTGTGAGAATGGGGTTGGAATGGATGGCCAACTCTATGATCTAGGAGTTAATGGGAGGAAAGGAGACACATGCTAAGAAAGGGGAAAACACCTGTATTTGGCTTGAGAGTCTGGTTTATTATGTAGGTTGAGCAGGGTTTGAGTCCATACCAAGTACATATTTGGGCTGGGAAGCATCCTACCTCATTCACTCACTAGTTATGGTCAACCATCATTTCTGTAATTTCCCAACTTCTGAGAAACCGAAATGCTAAGTCCAGAAATGTGAATGGTTCATGGTGTGTCTCTTCCATCTCTCAGGCCACTTGCGCATCACACACAAAAAAAGCCAAAACAAACAAAAACATTGTATTTCAGGCAGAATAGTTCAGGTTTCCAAGAAGCCATTCTTGCTCTTGATCAAGTAGACTTATTTACAGTTGGAACAGCTAGAGCAGCCCGTAATATCAATTCCCACCTGTTCAAGCAGGATCACATCACTGGGCCCCCTTTTCTGTCCCCAATTCAGTGGTGATTCCCTCCCCGCTGGTCCACAGACATTCCAAAAAGATGCTCAAAGTGAGAGCTTGCCATTGAGGTAGACAGTGACAGGTTGCTTGGAAAGCTCATGTCGGTCGCCTGCCGGCAAAGCCAATGGAGCTGGTGCACGTCCTCTGTAAGTGACGCTGACCTCGTCCGATTCATAGAGTTTTATTTTATGGAGACTGTTCATGGGCAAATGCTTCTGGAGGTTTTCCCAGATGAACACTGCGAGGTTTTCAGTTGTACTGGAGGTGCGACACAGAAAGAGAGACATTGAGAGAGAGGGTCTCAGGCTTCTTGCCTAGCCATTTCCCTCATGTAAGAACCCCACGATCTTACCTGACAATGTTTGCAAAATAGGGGACATCTTGATCCAAGTCTTTTTTGTCCAGAGGCTTTGTGACTGCCTCCTAGGAAGGAGCAAAAAGGACATATTTAGTGGAGTGTGTCCAAGTAAACGAGCAAAATAAGATATGGCTTAGACAATGCCACTCAACGACAAACGGTTTTATTGGATTCTGCTTGAACGTTTGCCAAAGGACACAGAGCTATGCAGGGGATTGGGAAATATGGCCCCAGGACTGGATGAGGTTTCCCCAATATTATAGGCTGGGGACGTCACTAAGGCATGCACATCTATAGTCATTCCTTACTCTACGTAGCCTTTCAGCTTTTGGTCAAGGTTTCAGAGCCTCAAGCACAACATGGTGCATGCATATTGTTCATCCAGCACTCTTTATCATGAAGGAAATGGCTAGAAGTCATTTATTTATTGGGTTGTTGTAGGTTTTTTGGGCTATATGGCCATGCTCTAGAGGTATTCTCTCCTGACGTTTCGCCTGCACCTATGGCAAGCATCCTCAGAGGTTGTGAGATGTATATAAATTTGTTAACAGACCTCACAACCTCTGAGGATGCTTGTCATAGGTGCAGGCAAAACGTCAGGAGAGAATGCTTCTTTGCCATATAGCCCAAAAAACCTACAACAACCCAGTGATTCCAGCCATGAAAGTCTTCAACAATACATTTATTTATTTTGCATCAATATGGACTAAGCGTTTGTCTGTATGGAGAGGCTGCCTCTGCGGATAAAGCCAGAGCCGAGGATTATGTGAACAACACGTTCAAGGAGGGTTATGTAGTGTATAAGTGTGTGGGGAGGGTTTAAAAAGGATAGTGTATAACTATTAAAATAATGTATAAATATCAAAATAAATATAGTGTCCCTACTTTGCAGATTTCCACTTTTCGCGGGTGGTCCTGGAACGTAACATCTGCATAAGTGAGGGAACATTGTATTTGAATCCTAGTAATTTCCAGTGTTTCCCAATTGAAAGCATTTGGACTAATATATGTCTATCCCATGGAAAACACAAATGATTAACTATCACTTGATTGTGCATGTTCTGTACTTGAAGGTTGGTTATCCGACCTTCGCTGATCCGACATTCCATCTTATCTGATGCTCTGATCCGACGCTCCACTTTTCCTCCAGCATTTTCTCTTCAATTAAAGGGGTGCTCCCCAACTCTCTCTCCATTCCCAATCAGTGAAAAAGGCAAGACAATGAGGAGGAGGAGGAGGAGGGAGGAAAGGGGGAAAAGAGGCAGGACCAGAAGCAGAAGCATCGTCCCTGATTTCTGCACTCCTCTTCCGCATCCGGGCACTTCCTGCTGGGCCCTCTAGCCCTGAGGCTTTGCCTTGCCTTAACTCTTTGAGTCCCTGTTGTTAGTATTCCAGGTGTCTAGCGCCGCGTTGGAAGCATAACAGTAGAAGATTCCGTATTATCCAACGTCTTTGTTTATCGGACATTCTGTCAGTCTGTTTACGTCAGATTGTTATTTATTTATTTATTTACTACGCTTATATACCGCAATTCTCAGCCTAATGGCGACTCATTGCGGTGTACAACATAGAAAAACAGGTGCAAAATACAAACATAGTGAAAAATAATCCGCAGTACATCATTATCAAAACATCTCATCAAAAACATCAACATTATTACAAAGCCATTCCGAGTCGTCTCATCGTCAAGTTCACAATCCGATACCATTTCCGTTGTTCCATTCCTATGGTCAAGTTACCAGTCATTGCACTTCTATTCAAATGCCTTCTTAAACAGCCAGGTCTTTAGCTTCCTGCGGAATATCAACAGGGAGGGGGCTAGCCTGATGTCTACGGGAAGGGTGTTCCACAGCCACGACTCTACTGTACCTGCATTATGACTTTGAATGCCAGTAGAAGATAGGGAGCTTTGACTGTCACACCCAATGTGCCATTTCTATTTGCATACCATAGGATTCCCACTTATGAGCCCCAAAGGTCTCGCATCATTACCTGCAGGTAAGCTTTCAAATCCGTGAGGTCGATTACCATTCCAGACAGGGGATCAATCTAGAAAACAAGAACGAGGAGGCATCTCAGCAACCTAGAGACAAACAAGTTGGAGAGACCACCAATTTGACTTGGGATTTCTGGTGGTTCATGTACCTGCATTTTCTTTGCTTCTTGAGAAAGGAAATGGAATTGGAATGGGTTGCAGTGCTTCTATGTTGCATATTATTTGCCCCCCAAGTGAACTTATCTTGTTGAAGGCTTTCATGGCTGGAATCACTGGGTTGTAGGTTTTTTCGGGCTATATAGCCATGTTCTAGAGCAGTGGTTCTCAACCTGTGGGTCCCCAGGTGTTTTGGCCTACAACTCCCCGAAATCCCAGCCAGTTTACCAGCTGTTAGGATTTCTGGGAGTTGAAGGCCAAAACATCTGGGGACCCACAGGTTGAGAACCACTGCTAGCCCTTCCTTTTCCTGGCTTAAGAAAGACTAAAGACATGGATGTTCGAACAAGCATTCGGTTAACACGGTGCAACGAATCTGACGATCAAGGACTGGTAATCACAGACGATGAAATTGGACTGCGTTTTTAACTAAGAGATGCATTGGTTCGATATTGGTGGCCCAATATTGTATATTATGTATGTGTTTTTATGCTTTTTTAATGCTTTTTATCTTGAATATTGTTGATTATTGTAATGTTGTAAACCGCGTTGAGTCGCCAATGTAGGCTGAGAAACGGCGGTATACAAGTGCAGAGTAATAATAATAAATAATAAGAGAGAATGCCTCTAGAACATGGCCATATAGCCTGAAAAGACCTACAACAACCCAGTAAACTTATCTTTACAAGGAATATGTGCCAGTGTTTGGCACCAAACTAAATCTTGAAAAGGTTTGGAATTATGCCTGGTTCCAAAACAGAACAATCCCATAAACTGGAGCCTGGATCAGCCCAAGTGTCCCTTTGCCTTCCCTCGTTGGCTCCCTCCAAACGTTCCCCATGCTACTTACTTCTCCAATGACTGTCACCACAACTAGAGAGAGGAAGAAAAGGCCATGTTATTACCAGATACGCCCAACGTTTCACAGATGAAGACTGGGACATGTGTGGCCGAGAAACACGAGAACGTGGTCAAGATGGCAAATCATTATTAAGGAAGAACACGCAAGCTAGGAAGGGCTGCTAATAAGGAAGAAGGATAAGAGTCTCCCCCCTTTTCTCCACTCCCCTTAATGTATTGATCCATTGCAAGCAATATTTGCATTTTGAACTCGGTTTGCAGCAACTGAAGTAAGCTGACGATGAAAGGGGAAAGAGGGATGAGAAACTGGGATGTTTTGCATATGATGAAAAAGTGGGATGACGGAGGAGTAATTAGGACAGTGGGAGGGTTCGCGTTAGAATCAATACTTCAGGACTAGTGGGAGCTATTACCAACAGAAAATACTGGAAGAGTTTGGTGGGCAGTGTCCTTTGGTTTTGGAGTTGTAGTTCACCTACATCCATAGATCACTGTGGACACAAACAATGATTGATCTGGACCAAATTTGGCATGAATACTCAATATGCCAATATGTGAACACTGGTGGAGTTTGGGGAAAATGGACCTTGGCATTTGGGAGTTGTAGTTGCTGGGATTTATAGTTCACCTATAATCACAGAGTATTCTGAACCCCACCAACAATAGAATAGGGCCAAATCTCCCACACAGAATCCCCATGAGGGCCATTGCAACATGTGGCAGGGGACGGCTAGTATATAAATAAAAATATAATGTTCGTTTGTGGTATTCACAGAACTTAAAAACCACTGGATGAATTGACACCAAATTTGGACACAAGACACCTAACAACCCAATGTATGTCCTTCACTAAAAAAAATGGATTTTGTCATTTGGGAGTTGTAGTTGCTGGGATTTATAGTTCACCTACAATCAAAGAGCATTCTGAACCCCACCAACGATGGAATTGAACCAAACTTGGCACACAGTTCTCCCATGACCAACAGAAAATAATGGAAGGGTTTGGTGGGCAGTGTCCTTTGGTTTTGGAGTTGTAGTTCACCTACATCCAGAGAGCACTGTGGACTCAAACAATGATGGATCTGGACAAACTCTACACGAATACTCAATATGCCCAAATGTGAACACTGGTGGAGTTTGGGGGAAATAGAATCTTGACATTTGGGAGTTGTAGTTGCTGGGATTTATAGTTCACCTACAATCACAGAGCATTCTGAACCCTACCAAACCTCCCACACAGAACCCGCATGTGTGCCACGGCAATGAATGGCAGGGGGCAGCTAGTTCAGAATATAAATATACAGGGTATATGATCAAGGCGCCTAAATTTGGAATTCCTTGTTGTGTTAGGGCGGTGTTGAAAGGAAGCGGCACCTCAACATGGTCTTGTCTGCTTTCTCACCTTTATAATTGTGCCCGTGCTTCTGGCTGCATGACCCAAACAGCTTCTTATTCTCTGTGTCACTGAAAGATTTGCTGGAAAGAAAAAGGAACTTATAACAACAACAACAACAACAACAACAACAACAACAACAACAACAACAACATAATAATAATAATAATAACACTTTATTTATATTCTGCCCTTCTCCTCCTGGGGACTCAGAGCAAATTACAGTGTAAACAGATACCGGCAAACACTCAATGCCTTGCTACAATACAATGAGACACACAAACACAAACAAAGGCAAAGGCTTCTCCTTTCATTTCTGGCTTTGGAGGCAATGCTCATCTCTGGCTGTGGGGTGCTGCTTCTCCATTTCCAAGTCGAGGAGCCTGCGTTGTCACCTCCCGGTCGTGTGACTGGCATGACTGCTTGGAGTGTCTTATGCCTTTCTCGCTGAAGCGGTACCTATTGATCTACTCACATTTGCATGTTTTCGGACTGCTAGATTGGCAGGAGCTGGGCTAACTGCTAGGAGGAGAAATGGTAAATCCAGGTGGGTTGCCGAGGAGAGATGTAGCATAGTGCAACAATTCTGGCACAGTGCTATATCTCTCCTTGGAAAGCCACCCTGATTCACCTTCAGGCTCTTGGCTATTAAGTGGATGATGGAGACTAGCAGGATCTGGCTATGTCTCCATCAATCATCCCCTGTTGAAATCCATGTGCTAGATTGGCAGGAGCTGAGCTAACTGCTAGGAGGAGAAATGGTGCATCCAGGTGGGTTGCTAAGGAGAGATGTAGCATAGTGCAACAATTCTGGCATTGTGCTACATCTTTCCTTGGAAATCCACCCTGATTCACCTTCAGGCTCTTGGCTATTAAGTGGATGATGGAGACTAGCAGGATCTGGCTATGTCTCCATCAATCATCCCCTGTTGAAATCCATGGAAACTCAACGGATGGTGTTGTTGGTCTTGTCTGGTGGTGGCAATGCATCCAGTTGTTTCCCCAATGCCTCCCATTTCATTCACTCCAATCCTTCCCATTTCATTCAAGGGAAGCCCAGAGTTCAGGTGCTACAATCCCATCTCAGAACAGCCATCCCAAGGATAGGTCTTCCTGTGGGATACATACACACAGGGCATTTTTGCGGCACCAAATTTCCAACCTTTGAGGTCAATCTGCATATTTCTGGCTGTGCCATCCCATCAAATTCCTTGTTTAAAGATGATTACAGTGGTTGAGGTCCTGCACTGAGGAGATGGGCATAAATGGACACTCTCAGTGTTAGGTGCAGTGATGCACGCAACCTCATTATAATGTTATGTGGCTGAAGATGTAAGCATGTTCACACATACATATATACATGCATGCACAATGCGTGACGAGAACTGCTGCAGGCAAATATGCCCCTGTGAGCAATGAGCATATGCAACCTTTATCTGAGGACCTATCCACACTACAGAAATAAAGTGCTATTATTCCACTTTAGCTGCCATGGTTCCATCCTACAGGGTTTAAGAGCTGTAGCACACTCAACTTGTTGGGAGTTGCACCAAGCTCATGTGTTTGCCATAAACAGTGACCAAAAATCAATAACTGTTTATGGCAAGATTTGAACCAAGATTGAAGAGAAGAGAGAGGGGGCCAGGGGACAGGTCCACCTTTTCTCCTGTGCTATGCTAATAATATAATATAATATAATATAATATAATATAATATAATATACATATATATAATAATTATAATATTATAATGTATACAATATAATATAGTAAAGGTAAGTAAAGGTTTCCCCTGACATTAAGTCCAGTCTGTCTGACTCTGGGGTGGTGCTCATCTCATTTTAAGCCGAAGAGCCGGCGTTGTCATGACACCTCCAAGGTCATGTGGCTGGCATGACTGCATGGAGCTGTTACCTTCCCGCGGAGCAGGTACCTATTGATCTACTCACATTTGCATATTTTTGAACTGCTAGGTTGGCAGAAGCTGGGGCTGACAGCGGAAGCTCACGCCGCTCCCCGGATTCGAACCTGCGACCTTTTGGTCAACAAGCTCAGCAGCTCAGCGGTTTAACCCACTGTGCCACCGAGGGCTACTATTATATACTACTACTACTACTACTACTACTACTAATAATAATAATAATATTAATATGATATTATAATTATATATTTTATATTACATGTAATACTAATAATAATATAATATAATGGTACAGTACAATATAGTAATATATAATACTGGTATTGTACTATGCTAATAATATAATATATTGTATGTATATATATCTTGTAAGCCGCTCTGAGTCCCCTTTGGGGTGAGAAGGGTGGCATATAAATGTCCTAAATAAATAAGTGTGTGCATCTTGCTTCGCAGAATTGCTACTGACCTTGTAAACAAAACCTACCTTCCTAGAAGGGTTTCTCATTTTGGATGGGGTTTCCTCCCAATTACTTGATGCCGGTATTCAACTCTAAGCTCATTCTCTCAACGTTTTCCAACTATGGTGATACAGGTATAGGGTACCAATACTATCAACACACCAATCTGGACATATTCCCTCTCCAATCTTGATTTTCATTATTGACATCATGGTTCCAATGCCAGAGATACAGCTTAATGGTGTAACATTAGAAAATGTTGACCATTTCCGCTCCCTTGGCAGCCACCTCTCCACCAAAGTCAACATCGACACCGAAATACAACACCGCCTGAGCTCTGCGAGTGCAGCATTTTTCCGAATGAAGCAGAGAGTGTTTGAGGACCGGGACATCCGTAGGGATACCAAGGTGCTTGTTTATAAAGCTATTGTCCTCCCAACCCTGCTATATGCCTGCGAGACATGGACTGTCTACAGACGTCACATGCAACTCCTGGAACGATTCCATCAGCGCTGCCTCCAGAAAATCCTGCAAATCTCTTGGGAAGACAAGCGGACAAACGTCAGCATGCTGGAAGAAGCAAAGACCACCAGCATTGAAGTGATGGTCCTCTGCCATCAACTCAGCTGGACCGGCTACGTTGTCCGGATGCCTGACCACCATCTTTCAAAGCAGTTGCTCTACTCCAAACTCAAGAACGGAAAACGGAATGTTGGTGGGCAGGAAAAGAGATTGAAAGATGGGCTCAAAGCCAACCTTAAAAACTCTGGCATAGACACTGAGAACTGGGAAGCCCTGGCCCTTGAGCGCTCCAGCTGGAGGTCAGCTGTGACCAGCAGTGCTGCAGAATTTGAAGAGGCACGAATGGAGGGCGAAACAGGAAAAGAGATTTAAAGATGGGCTCAAAGCCAACCTTAAAAACTCTGGCATAGACACTGAGAACTGGGAAGCCCTGGCCCTTGAGCGCTCCAGCTGGAGGTCAGCTGTGATCAGCAGTGCTGCAGAATTTGAAGAGGCATGAATGGAGGGTGAAAGAGAGAAACGTGCCAAGAGGAAGGTGCATCAAGCCAACCCCGACTGAGACCGCCTTCTACCTGGAAACCAATGCTGAGAACTGGGAAGCCCTGGCCCTTGAGTGCTCCAGCTGGAGATCAGCTGTGACCAGCAGTGCTGCAGTATTTGAAAAGGCAGGAATGGAGGGTGAAAGAGAGAAACGTGCCAAGAGGAAGGCGTACCAATGCCCTCACTGCGGGAGACGATGCAGGTCAAGAATAGGGCTCCACAGTCACCTATGGACCCACAAGAATCCTGGAAGACTATCCTACTCAGCCAACGAGTGATCGCCTAAGTAAGTAAGTAAGCGTCAGGATTGCAGCAAACCTTGGATCAGTTTCTAGCCCTCAGCCTTTGTGATTCCCCAAAAGAGCAAGATAAATATCCATACTACTCTGTGGTTGCTCAGAAGAAAGATTGGATGTAAATATAATTAATTACCCATGCATATTTCTTGTTGCTGCATCCCTCAAGTCATTTCTGACTCCCAAAGCAAATGTATCATGAGATTTTCTGGGCAAAGGCTTGGGTTTCCTATTGGCACCCTCAGAGACTGAGATATTGTGGTCAGGATAACCCCAGGCTCCTAGACTAAATGCTCCAACCACAAGATCACGCTGGTTCTCCATAACACAAATAGAGGAGTAGGAAAGGACATTACCAGGCCATTCTGTGGGAGGCGCTAAAGGTGTCGATCCTGGAGAAGGTGGCCGTTTTCAGAGGAGCGATGTCCGCATGAGGTCCTCCTGAAGCCCTCGGGGTCTGCATGGCAGGAGGTAAGATGAGCGGTTTGTTATGCAGCGGTCAGGAGAAGTGACGGAGATGCTGTCAAAAAAGCTGGAGGAAATCTCTCCACGACCAGAATTAATAACCAGCTGCCCCTCATGTGATCTTGCCAGAGATGTATGTCTGAGTCAGAAAACCAAAATCACGGGATGGGAAGAGGAACAAATCAATTAATCTGGAGGAGGAGGTGGTGGTGGTGGTGGTGGTGGGGAGACAAAAACTCCCTGAGAAAGCACATCTGCTTTGCTCAATGAAGGTCAAGTCTCGCTGCCGGCGGTTGAAAGGACCACATTCTCAGGTACTGTGATTGAGGCCACTGTAACAGACAAGGGAGCTTTAAGCGACGCTAATAGAGGCATGGCACCCTGATGACTGGAAAACAACACCCTCCCTTTGTGATGGCTGGACCAAATTGATTCCAGTTTGGAAAGCGGAAGAACTGTCCTGAACTGGATGTTGCTGATTGAGGGCACTTCCAGAAGACGCTGACCCTCGCCTGTAAAAGCGAGTCATGTGAAGAACAGTTGACGTCCAGAAGAGATGTGACAGCTTTCTTGGAAATGTCATGCACCGCTTTCTTGGAAATGTCATGCACTGCATGGAGGCAATGGGATGGACTGGGCAAGGAGTTTGGCCAAACTATGAGGTTCGTATCATTAACCATTTATTTACGACTCTGCCTCTGAGGACTGGGCAAGGAGTTTGGTCAAACTATGAGGTTCGTATCATTAACCATTTATTTATGCCTCGGAGGACAGGGCAGTTGCAATTGGACTTGAACGATTTCCTTCCATTTTCTTCCATCGGTATCTGAGACACAATGGAGCTGTGCCTATCTCCCATTCTCTAACTCTAAGGTAGCATCAACTGGATTGCTTTTGGGCTTAGGCATGGTGGAGCTGTGATCTTCTCCTCCATCATCGGGCAGTGGCTGTCGGGATGGACGAAGAGCCTCCCATCTGCTTCTACTTGTGTAACCAGCTAAGTGTTTGGATTTTGTTTGTTTGTTTCTTACAAGAGTATCTCCTTATGAAAGTGATTCCCCGCATTTCTCAATAGTTTGTGGCACTCCAGGAATGATACGGTTGGCTCAGCTTTGTTCTCCTCCTCGGTTCCTTTCACAATCCTTTCACAAAGAAATTAACTCCCGACAGGATTTTGGCCTTGACAGGATGATAAATCTGGAAGAAATTGCTTTGGGTGGTTGACTCTTCTTCAGCATTCTTCTAGGATTTCCACACCCCAAAACCAAGGCTCTTTCTGCCTACCACAGTTGTTTTCTAGCATATTATGTTCTCTTTTAAATCCAGTTGGAAAGATGCAGGACAAGAATACTCCGTGGAAGATGAGGGGTTCTTGGACACAGCGGAATGGCTTGCTCTAGATGAATTCAGGGGGGATGTCTCTGGGGAAGAGGCCAGTTTAGAGCTACAGAATCCAGTTAAAAACAAAGAGGAGCAAGAACAAGAGCAACAAGGTTAGTTGTGCTGGTACAGCTGTACCAGGATCTCCAACTTTATTTTCTTTCTGTTAAAGTTTGCAGTTATAGGGCAGGCCTCCTGTCCATCTTAATTAAGCTTTGGTTCCGCCCCTTGTTCAGGCTTCTGGGAGGGAAAGGAGCCATTTTGGGCAGTCTCACACAAGGTAGCTAAGCTATAGGACATAGATCACTCGTCCCGTAGAAAAGCTTCCTTTCTTAAAAGCATCCAGGGAAAAGGAACATCCGGGGATACAGAAACAGAAATTCCAGGGGAAAGGTCCCAAAAGCTCTTGCTGAGAGCTCACAGCCTCTCAGCCTCACAGCAATCAGAGGGAAACAGCCCTGAAGTTCTCAAAGAATTCTCTGAGGGAGGACAGCAATACAGATCCACTGAACTCCAGCTGAAATTATCTTCAAGCCTCGGCTGGTAGGTCTACTCAATACCCAGATGCATTTGGAATCGGTAGTAGGACTCACACCGATGAGGCATAGATAGTAATCAGCCTGGGAGAGGTTAAAAAAGGTTTTTTTTTATCCTACAGAGAGAAAGTTCAGTTAACCAAAGTCAGGTACCAGTCCATTGAGGACTAGACTAAGAAAGCCTTAAAGTGTTGTTTGAACCATTGATGATTTGTTGTTTGTTCCATAATAAAGACTTTGTTGTATCATTAAAGACTCTAAAAATCATCACTTCAGGAAAATCCCTGAGAACCTCTCTTTGAGGCGCCCCTGGCTTCCCGCTGGGCTTAAGTATACGTCCTATAGAAAAGTACAGCTATTACAGGCCCAGCGTGCGACAGAACTTTAGTTTTCAGGAGCTCTGCTGGGCACCTTACCAGATTCAACACAGGAATGGAACCCTGTTTGCCCCCAGAGGAGACGTGTACAAGTAGTAGGGGACTCCCTCCTTAAAGGTTCAAGAGTGAATTTATGAAGTCTTTATTATGGAACAAACAACAAATCTTCAATGTGACATACTATGGTGAGGAGGTATCCAAGGCAACATTGTGGCCAAGGTTGACTCATTTGGCTTGGACTTCTGGGGTGTGCTGCATTGGGCTGCCTCTGGACCAAGTTCGTAAACTCCAATTAGTTCAGAAACTGGCCAGATTGGTTACAGGAACATTCAGGACTGAGCATATGACACCCATATTAAAGTCACTCCACTTTCTGCCTATTCATTTCTGTTGTAGCCTGGCAAGAGCCAGGTGATTCTGATTAGTATTATGGGTTTCAAAATCAAAATGAAGCATCTGAGATGTCTGAGAGCATTCAAGGAGATTTGCAGACAGGCTAGTCTGTGCAAAGTTGGCCCGATGCAGATGCTGTGCATATCAGTTTTACTTTCCCTGAGAAGAGGCCTGGGAAGACGGAGGGGCGCAGAGGTCACGAGGGAGTGTAGATTAGATCTCAGGACACAGGGTGTGAAATGCAGGAAATTAAGACATTCCCAGAGAATTAGAGATAGGAGTTTCAGGTCCAGATGTAGCAACGGTGATGCCATGAGTGCCTTGGTGAGTTTAAATTAGGTGTTTGATTCTCAGCATTTCAGAGAAGACAACTTTGCTGTGCGGAAACAGTCTCCTGTTCATGTTGCCAAGTTTTCAAGTCTTTGGTTCTTGTAATGTCAATATTCTCATTTCATGTTCCTGCCTTTGCCTATGAACCCTGGAAGAGTTTTGCCTGGATTGAGCATCTTGTATTCATGTTTCTGCATTTTACCTTGGACTATTTCTATGCTCTTGGATTTCTAGTTCCTGAGAGGTTTCCTTGGATTTCTTAAGGACTTTTATTGAACTCTGATTGATGTTTATACCCTGACAGCTACTTTTGGACATAACATCCCCTCCATTTATTATCATTTATTCAATACTTTGTTGTTGGACTATTGGCCTCTGGTGTGATACTGGGTGAAGAGGTGCCTCAGGGATAGGGTGCAACAGTTTCTGGGAAAAGCACAAAGTGTTGGTTTTGACCTTTAAATGCCAATTAGTTCGGAAAAAGGCCAGATTGGTTACAGGAACATTCAGAAGTGAGCATATGACACTTACATTAAAGTCACTCCACTGAATGCCTATTAGTTTCTGGGCAAAGCACAAAGTGTTGGTGTTGATCTTTGAAGCCCTCCATGGTTTGAGTCCAGATTCCCTCCAGGATGGGCTCCTCTCCGACAATCCATGGCCTCTTTGGAAAGTGACGTCCTCTGGGTTTTACATTCATTCCAATCAACCAGGATCTGACTGGAGACCATCACCCAGAGGACCTCTTTTCTATTGACCCCAAAAGAAAGGACCTTCCAAAGGAAGAGATCTCACAGCAGGTCAGAACTGAAGACCCAATTGAAGACCCATCACTTAGAATCATAGAATCAAAGAGTTGGAAGAGACCTCCTGGGCCGTCATTCAGTCCAACCCCATTCTGCCAAGAAGCAGGAATATTGCATTCAAATCACCCCTGACAGATGGCCATCCAGCCTCTGTTTAAAAGCTTCCAAAGAAGGAGCCTCCACCACACTCCAGGGCAGAGAGTTCCACAGCTGAACGGCTCTCACAGTCAGGAAGTTCTTCCTCGTGTTCAGATGGAATCTCCTCTCTTGTAGTTTGAAGCCATTGTTCCATTGCGTCCTAGTCTCCAGGGAAGCAGAAAACTCCCTGTGGCTTCCTCTCACATATTTATACATGGCTATCATATTTCTTCTCAGTCTTCTCTTCTTCAGGCTAAACATGCCCAGCTCCTTAAGCCGCTCCTCATAGGGCTTGTTCTCCAGACCCTTGATCATTTTAGTCACCCTCCTCTGGACACATTCCAGCGTGTCAATATCTCTCTTGAATTGTGGTGCCCAGAATTGGACACAATATTCCAGTTGTCTAACCAAAGCGGAATAGAGCATGGGGAGCATGACTTCCCTAGATCTAGACACTATGCTCCTCTTGATGCAGGCCAAAATCCCATTGGCTTTTTTTGCCACCACATCACATTGTTGGCTCACTTCCAGCAGAAGGCTGACCCAGTCAACATTCAACATTCAACCATGAGTTTTGACTTACATTCTATTGCTACCGTATGCCAATTCTGTATCTGTGTTTGGTGAAAGTCTTTTATCAGAATCTATATAAATAGAAATGTAATGTTCATTTGTGGGATTAACATAACCCAAAAAACAACTGGATGACTTGACACCAAATTTGGACACAAGACACCTATCAGGCCAACGAGTGACCATAAAACACTGGAAAACACAGCAGAAGGGACTTAAAAAGCCAAAAAATAAAAAAATACATTACAACGCATGCGCAAAACCATATATGTACACAAACACACACATATACACATATACACAAACATATAAAGAAATATATACACACATATATACATAAACAAAACACATACACAGAAAGGGGAAAGGAAGGAAGAAGAGAAGGAGGGAGAGAAAGAGGGAAAGAAGGAGAGAAAGAAGGAAAGAAAGACAGGTAGAGAAGGAAGGAGAGAATAAAAAAGTGAAAGAGGGAAGGAAATAAAGAAGGAATGATAGAGAGAAAGAGGGAGGGAAGGAAGGAAAGAGACAAGGAAGGATGGAACCAAAGGAAGCGAGAAAAGAAACAGGTAGAGAAGGAAAAAAGAAGAAGGGAAAGAAAAAGAGAAGGAACAA